ATACTATGGATTTTTGTGGAACGAACAATGTCCATCAATTTAATTATTTTTGCTCTGTCACTTAACATGGAGAAGAGTCTGAATAGAATCGCAAGCAACATCCCATGACATCGGACAGTGAGAAAGCTCAGAGACTCGTGACAATACTTGCATTGATATAGGGTCTCATCGAATCAAAGTGTAGTCAAAGTACATCACTCGATCGGTTTCTTTAAATTACAGTGACGTGATTGTAGGCAAATGTGACCACTAACTGTCACCACTAACCAGGCCACAAACCCAATGCAAATGAACGACCAATTTAATGTTTTGGTGATTTGGGAATGAAGTGAGGATAAATTGTTTTAATGCAAGAGGAAGCGTTCATCTTTTGGCAAGCTGACTGAACAGGCCCCGATGCTGGTGACAAGACAGGAAAATGCTTTCTCTTTCTTTCTAATGACTCTTACAGGATTCCTGTTGCCACTTGCATTATGCAAAACACGATTCCAAAAAATGCTGGCAATCTGTTTCTCCTCCCACCCACCAGTTTATCCGGAAAAGTTTCTTTTATTTTCATTGGCAATGCACAGCTCAGTGCAATGAATTTATACCTTTTAAAAAGTTTCCTCACTTGGCCGAGTGCTGAGATAGTTTGGTTTTTTGGATGTGTGCAAATGCAGGGTTCCATATGTTTTGGAGTAAACATAGAAGGTTTACAGCATAGGAGGAGAGTATTCTATGCCTTTACGTCTATTGCTAGCGCTGTTGCTCTATGAACACTCCATTGGAGCTATCCACAACAACAGCAACTAGATTGTCCTCTTCACATAGAGCTTTACAATGGCAGAACATTATTCCCAATTCTTCACACCCCCCACCATCCTCGTTAATATTTGTTATCCAATTCCCTTTGGATGCTGCTATAATAACCAGGTTGTTGAGACTTGCAATTTTTTTCTCGAGACACTTGAACGAGAGATGATTTAAAAAAAAAACGTTTCCATGCATCCCGCTAACGATTAAATTGCCTTGTGCCTCTTTAAGTTTCTGGCAGCTACACAATGCGTGATCGTCCGCCACCAAATGCCAGTGCAAGTCATCCAGTTCCTTTAAAGCCTGACATGTGTTTATCCCAGTTTTCATGGAGCAAAAGAAAGAGGGTGTTCTTATCAAAATAGCCGATTGTGGTGACATGCCAACTTGTGCCAACTTGGCCCGGTGGCATTATAATCGACCAATGTTGTAAATTGTCCAGATTGAAAGATTGGCCTCATCTGTAGGAATGTGCTGTTTGCTTTTTTGAAGTGCAGCCCATGTTCATGATGCAATGATCTGGTTTAGTGAATTGCCTTATAAGGCCTCACGTGTCTAAATCCAGTACGAGAAGTTCTCGATGTGCTTTTCACAGGGCAAGTCACCTTGAGGCCCTTAAGTAATATATAATCTGGAGCCAGGCCATAGAGTTCAGGGTGCAGGCATCTGCACCTGAAGAAGGGTTTGTAACAGAGTAAATATTCTTACTCACAATCTTATATCCTGATCTGATTATTTTTTCCCCCAGTTATTCAACTTTCAATTGTTTTGGAATTGTTCCATCCTTTAGGATGGGACTTTAAACCAAGGCCCTCTCTACCTGTTCAGGTAGATGTTATTCAAGAAGGAAGGGTGTTTCCCCCAAATCCCTGGACAGCAATCCCCCAAATACAATTGATCATCACTTTTACGGCTGTCTGCGGGATGTTGCTGCATGCAAATTGGCTGCTGCGCTCGCCTATGAAATACGCAGTCACTATACTTTACATCAAATCCTGTGAAGCACTTTGGGATATCCTCCCACTGTGAAATGTGTAATGATTAGGTAGCAATCATTAATTTTCTGTAATATCATTGGACATTATTAATATACCAGATTTTAATATTGTGTCGCATTGAAACATCTCGGAGAGTTTAACATTTCTTTTCATTTGTTCTGGTCTGAAGTTGGACAAGGACAGAATATTGTTATGTTGTCAGGCAGCAAAAGGCCCAGACACTTAATATTTAACACCTAACACTTCAATATTTAACACCTAACACTTCAATATTGAATCCTTATCGAGTTCCATAAATAAAGCATTGGGATCCTCTTCACAACAGGCGTGTTAAGACAATTACTGTTGACATTGATACTCAATGAAGGATTGTAGTTACTCCAGCACACTGTTGTCTAATAGAACTCCCACCTTTATCACAGACCTTTACATCTTAGGAGGCCATTTGGCTTGCCATACATCTGTTCTGAAGGAGCTTTGGAGCAAAGGAGCTAATCCCACACCCCTGCCTTTTCACCTCACAACCCTCTATAAAACCTGAAATGGATCTCTTCATTTAACACCAGCTTGAGACGTCTTAGACTTTGCATGAAATAGCATGATACTCCGCCCGAAAAGGGAAGCATGTTGTGTGGCGAGAGACTGACCCGTGAGGGATGGGAACATCCCAGGTTCCATCCCAGGAATCCATTAGGTTACTTACTGAAGCTTAACAGGTTATCTCAGTCCCGCTGGGATAAAATGGAGTGCAAAAATATCCCATCAGTTAGGCTTCCTGTTCCTGATTGCTATGTAGCTCAATTAGAATAGACCCACTGAAGTTGATCTGTGTGCTCAGCAGTACGTACTGCTACGTGGGTGAGGTACCTGAAGAGCCACACATGCACATGGAAAGGTAGCGAGGAAGGGAGGGATTAACTGGGGCAGAAGAACTTCTGCAACTAATGTATGTTGGCAATGTGATATGTTTAGCCTTGATGTGGACTCCAGAATAGACTTCTGGCATTGAATTGTTATGTTGTTGCTTATGGTTTGGCACCAAGACCCGAGCAGGGGCTGCTCCACATTGCAGCGATGAAACCTCTCGCTGCCAGACTAGGTCAGCTGTTTCCAGTTCTCAACATTGACTTGGCAATCCTGCTGTGTTGTTCAGGGGATAAGATCAAAATGCTCTGCCAACAGATTGGAAGGCAAACCTTGGAAGATCTCTCCATTCCCCCTGCAATTTTATCATGGGGAAATAATGTGCCGGGCAACTGACTGATCGTATATTGGCATTTATGCAATGTTTCAGCCAAGGCTTTGTGACTTTGGGACTGTTTCTTGTGCCTCCTCTCGCAGACTGGATGACTGCAATGCGATCTCCCCACGGAGTCTGGGCATGGGATCAGTTACAGCCTTGCCCCACGTGACCTCCAGCAAAGCATTTAAATATAGAACTCTTCGTGTGCAGCTGTGCCTAAGGTTTGGCTTGTTTGCACTGTTGGTACAAGCCCATGTAGCTGCTTCAAGTTTTCACCCAAGGAAAGAACCGTAGACGTTTACAGCGCAGACAAAGGCCTTTGGGAGCATCGTGTCTGTGCTGGCTCCTTTAAACAGCAATCCTTTCAGTGCCATTTACCTGCCTTTGCACCCATACCCCTCTAGTTTACTCTCTAGATTTTTGGGTGGGGGTCAGCCAGGGGTCTGACACATGAGGAAACCCATCACCAGACTTAAGAGTATCCAAACCAAGCTGATTATTCCATGCATCCCACCTACACGTGGAAATCCCAGAGATAGATTGTTGGAATGGAATGCACTCTCTCTCTCTGGATGGATGCATCCTGCTTACCTAATTCCGGAAGGTATTAGGTGCAAGTTGGCAACAGCCAATTTAAAAAACCATTAAAGCCATTGATTTTAATCTTGGTTTCATTAAGCACTTGAGCATTATTATTTCCTGAACCTTTGTAATTGCCTATTATCTACCGACTTACTTATCTGAAATGACCCCCTATTATTCCTGCTGCAGAATTGTCTTATCACTTCCTCAGTGTTGGTCTTAGAATTAATCCTCATTTCGGTCAGCGTGTTTAAAGTTAAGAGTTACTTAATGAACTCAGGCTGTGAAGACAAAGCATAGTTTATACTATTAGAGAGACCCCAGTCCCCACAGCAGTGCAGGGGATTGTTTAATGTTAATTCACAACATGCGCAATGCTAGTTTTCTCGTTGCCTTTGCAGAGGAGCTTCCATCACTGAACCTTGTCCAAGATAAACAGATACATAGTAGTTTACCCCATCATTGGAGAACAGTAACGTACCCCCACAGTAGTGATACAGTTAAATAACTATTCCAATTCTTTACTCTTGTTTTACGCCAAAACATTTTTGACATTTAATGTTTCGCTTGGAAGCTTAGCATCTGTATTGTTTGCTGACGGGAGTTTTTTTGCGGTGTTTCTTAACCACGAGTCAGCTGGCATTATTTCTGATGACTGTTAAGGAATGCTTATAAGGAATACCACAAATTAAATGATATTGTACAACAGATCAAGAGCTATTAAAATGAGCAATGATTTTTCTTGGTCCTTTCGCTTCTCAGAATAAATTTCACTCGATTCCCTGTCCTGGGCCCCTCACAGGAGGTGACCCGGGTAATTCAGGGTGCAGGTTATGTAATCGACTTCTGTGTATTAGGTGTGATGACTCGATCTACTCGCTACTCAGTCGTGACCGATGGGCTCTCAAACATTCATCGCCATGAGCAATCTAACCCAAATTCAAGTGAGCAACCCTTAAAGTGTGGATCTAGACTTTGACGTCGACCTGTAAAAAAAAATTATTCTTTATATAAATATTTTGAAAAAAAACACTTAGTGGGAGGAATTCCACCCGGATCTAGATTTACGCTTACAGTCTTACCGTTTCTGAGCATCCAGAATTTGACAAAATCTTCACATGTTTAATTTTGACGCCGGTTTTCTGTACGTTTCCTTTGAGAACTACTGATAACGGCTTCAAAGTTGAGGCTGGGAATTTAGCAATTTGCCCATTTCTGGACACTCTGAAATGGTAAGAAAGTAGAGTAAAGCTAGATATGGGTGGAATTTTTAACCGTCTTTTGTTTGCAGGATCCGACTTGATGTTTTTTTGACATCGTCGACAGCTTTACGTTTCACCCCGCAATTATTCTAATTCGATGTTTGCTACTTTCGTTCACAGAGAAACTCTACAACTCAACAGGACCTGAATTAAGAAGGTCGCTCTTCTCTCTGAAGCAGCTGTTTCAGGTACAGTACCAGAGCAATGTGTGATCAGTGGTCAAGCCAAGCCTGGTCTTTAGCTGGCTCACATCTTCCTCACATCAGAAAGGACATCTCAAATCACTTCCCAGCATATCCTGTGAAGTACAGTGACTGCCATTTTATAGGTGAAGTCAGTCAATTTACACACAGCAAGGTCCCATCAACTACCATGAAGTGAATGACCAATGTTTTATTTGGAGGACTGTTGGCCAGGAGACCAGGAAAATCCTCCCTTCTCTTTGAATCTTTAACGTCCAGGCCGAACAGGGCAGCTGAACGGTGATGCAGGCTGTCAACGGAGCACGTGATTATTAGAACAATGTCAAGGAAATGTGTTGCAATACACTACACCAGCGGCACACAATGTACCTTTCCCTATTGTTTCAGTGTCGTTCAGTTCCGGCACTTCAGTGCAGTGCCAGGAAGTGCCTCTATGTAGTTTGATGCCATCTTTAACATGACACGTTATACCAAGGTCTCGACTGCCCGTTCAGGCGGACATTGAAGACGTAACTTACTGATGAAGTGGTTTGCAAGTATTGCTCAGATTGTCAGGTTTTCACCAATGAGAAACCTCAATCTTGCCATATAATGAAGTTAGTGATCAGCGTTTTTTGGACCACTGCTTCCTCCCTCCCTCCCCCCACCCAACTTCCAAACTACGAGCCTGACATGTGCGTACTGTTCCACACAGTCACCGGGGATTCTCGACGACGGCTGTGATGACCTGAGCCGGGCAAGGCCTGGGGGCATTATTCACTCGCCCAGTTCCGAGGGAATGGACCTTCACCTCCAAAAGATTTGTCTTGTTCTATATAATAACTAGCGTAAAACTGAATTGTGTTTCAATTTAGAATCGAAGTGACCTGCTTTGTAAATCTTCAAAGGCTTAAACCTCGGAGCTTGACATCAATGCAGCAGGAAGGGGAAGTAAAGTAAAAGGCACGTTTTCTGCTCCGTCTGGGCAGCTTGTAGTTGCAGCTGCAGGTTAAATTTGGCAAGTTTTGTTTGTTTTTAAACGGTTTGATGCTTTTTTTTAAGATGATAAGAGGTTTACACCCTAAGCTCCTTAGGGTGTAAACTCCTTAGGGTTTGCTCCTAAAGCCAATGGGCAGCTAGCCTGCGCCCAGGTTGAAGGCACTCTGGAGCAATCGTTCCGCGCTGTGGACTGAGTTAGGCTTGGAACTGGGTCACTTTGACTCACCCTTGTGTCCTTTATTCCCTATCCTGTGGGTAGTTAATGCCTTTCTCCCCAGTTAGACCCAGATTGGAATCTCGGTTCAGAGTAAGACCAGATCCTACCGTCTGTGTTACTCATTTAGTCCAGGCTGACACTCCAATCCACTGCCTGGAGGAGCTGTGCATTTGTTGGATGTGCTGCCTTTGTGTGAGATGTTAAACAGAGTCCTCACCTGCTTATTCAGTTGGTCGTTAAAGATCCCACTGAGCTACTGAGAGAGAAAAGGGAATTTCTCCCGGCACCCTAGCCAACAATTTTCCCCTTCCTGCTGTCATTCACTTCATTGATGTTTGTGGGATTCTGATATGTGCAAATTGCCTGCCACGTTCACCTACTACACAGTCACTCCACTTTGCCATGAATGGCTTTGAGGTATCCTTCCCGATATGAAAGGCACTATATCAACGTGAGGATTATTATTACAAGTCCAGGGAATATGTCCACTGAAAATAATACAAGTTTCACTCAGTGGGTTGAGAAAGTTCATTGAATCATGAGGTTGGGGCAATGTCCTGTCATACAGAAGTACTTGGATCATGTGAGAATATTTCACTGTGCCGGGGATGGGAGGGATTTAATACTGGGACCTTATTATGGTCAATATATGACCGGTAACACCTCAGTTCCAGACTTGTTATATTTTTGATGAAATCTAAGATGGAAAGATTGGAGCCACATTGAGCACAAGTGCCAGATTGTGTGGCACAGTATCAGATATTGCATGCACTGCGGCAGATCTTGTGCTGTGTGTTGTGCCCCCGCCTGAAATCTCCAGGCCAGATGTGGAGCTGAGTGTCAAGTCTGGCTGTTCCACAATCTACTCAGAAAGTCTCGGGCTGAGACGCTTCTCTCTCTCCCCCTCCACCCACCGCGAAAAAAAAAGAGACGTTTGAAGATACAATCAGTAATTAACAATTTGCTGAAACAGAACAAATTGATTGTGTTACTAATTATATCTCCATTTAGCATAACCCTCTTTGGAATTTCAATAAATCTCATCAGATGATTTGGGATCACCACCTAGAGGCCTTATCTTGATGCCAAGGAATGTGTTACACATTTATGTGGGTTTCACAGAGCCTGCTTCTGTTGGAACCGTTCACAAAAACCAGGCACTCAGCAGTCCTAGATGCACTGGATTAGCTTCTCTCTCTTTCAGTAAGAGGACTGTGCGCAAATTGTTCGGGACTCTTAAGAAATATGAATACAAACGCACAACCACACAATGACAGCCTGGCTCATTTGATAGCACTTTCACCTCTTTAAGTCGAAAGGTTATGGGGTTGATAAATAAATAAATAATCCTTGCATTTGATATAGCGCCTTATCACGTCTTTGAGACGTCTCAAAGCCCTTCAGAGAATTTACTGTCAAGTGAATTGACTGTGTTCTGTGGGAGAAACACGGCAGCCAATTGCGCACAGCAGTGTCCCACAAACAGTCGTGGATTCAGTGACCAAATTATTATCTTTTTTCATTAAGCGATGACTACGCTGTGGATGGGTTTATTTCTAAACCACTATTTTGTTTTGAATCCACACAGAAGAGTGGAAGGTCATTAAAGAGTCCGTGTTAACTAAACTGACCCATTATATTGTTACCTCAGGCATATATGTAATGTTTCTGGAGAAAAAGATGTTTGCATTTTTCCCTAACTGTATTCAATACAGGATACTGAACAGGATATCGGGTCATTTGCATTTATGTAGCTAATGGCAATATTCTAGTAAAATACTGGCAGGTGGGTCAGTAACCAGAGCGCATAGATTTAAGATAATTGGCAAATGAATCTTAGGGGATGATAATAATTTTTTTAAAACACAGAGTTGTTACAGTCTGGAATGCACTGCCTGAAAGGGTGGTAGAAACAGATTCAAAAATAACTTTCAAGGGGGATTGGATAGGTACTTGAAAAGGAAAAAATTACAAAGATATGGGGAAAGAGTGGGGGAGTGGGACTGATTGAGTAGCTTTTCCAAAGAGCCAGCACAAGCACAATGGGCCGAATGGCCTCCTTCTGTGCGGTAATATTCTATGATATCCTCCTTTTAGCTCAAGTCATGAGTTACAATGTTATGAGCTGATGCCCCACATCAGGACTTTGAGCTCAACACCAACCTTTATTGCCGGCCAACAAAATAAATTTCTAGATTGAATAGTTCTTGATTTAATCCACACGGATACACATAGATTCGTGCAAAGGTTTAAGGTGGGGTCACTTCTTGGTGCTTCTTGCAAGGATTATGATTGCCGTTAACTATTGACACAACCAATAGTGAGGCCTCCAGGTTCTATGTATAAACCATTTTCCTTCCTCTTCTCTGGGCTTTCCTGCTCGACTGAGCTTCTGGCTATAGGTAGATTTGCAGTTCACAGCTCTGAACCTTCCCTCCTCCCCCCCTCAACTGAAGTCTGAAAGTATTGCCCTGTGTTTCCTTTCACTCTGGTCCCGTGGTGCCTCGGAGCTATTGAAACCCTTGATGTGTTTCTCTCTCTCCCTCTCTCTCTTGTAGGATGACAAAGACCTGGTCCCGGAGTTTGTGAGCGCTGAAGGGCTGACGTGCCTGATCAAAGTGGGAGCGGAGGCTGATCAGAACTATCAGAACTACATCCTGAGAGGTTAGCTCTGCTATTCCTAGTCTAGATTGTAGCTCCAGCGCAGTACAGGGCAAGCACTGCACAGACAGAGCCTTCTGATGAGATTTCAAGCCAAGGTCCCCCGTCTCCCTGTCCTTCAGGAAGACGTTAAAGATCCCGTGACACTGTTACTCCCAGTGTATGTCTCTCAGGGTCCTGGCTGCCTTGCTGAGGGCAGAGAGACTGTCACGTCTGGAGTTGTTGGTATCCCCCAAAGTCTGGGGCTTGAAATGTTCGCTACAAGCTCCACCTCGGTGGGATCGTAATAAACTAGCAATTGGTTCTGGGAGGGCAGGAGCTGGGATAGACCATTCCACTGGTGAGTTTGTGTTACTGCTTACACTTTGTCCCCTCGCTGTCTGAAATCCTGCTCCTCTTTAAAAGGGGCTGTTCAGTAGACTGGACAATGCATTTGTTGTGGTCTCGGTACGCCCATGCTTGGGGACCCACAGGTGTCTTATGCTACAGCTAATCACTGTGGCTGCAACATAAATGATGATTTAAAAAAATATATATATACAAGTACCTGTTTAATATGGTGTATTTGCTGACTTTCCAGCGCTGAGCCAGATCATGCTGTTTGTGGATGGAATGAATGGAGTCATCAGTCACTGCGAGACTGTGGAGTGGCTGTACACTCTGACAGGCAGCCTGGTGAGTCCAGTTAAAACAGCGTTGAGTTATACATAGGCTTAATCGTTCATTACAATAACAACTTGCATTTATATCGTGCTTTCCACATGGGATCAACGTTCTCTTCACAGGGTCAGTTTTGGAGGGGTCAGCCGGGTGGGTGTCTGACACATGCGGCAACCCCAGCCCCAGGCTTAAGAGTATCCAAACCAAACTGAGAATTCCACGCATCCCACCTGTGCATGGAAATCCCAGAGATAGATTGTTGGACTGGAATGCGCGCACTCTCCCTGGAGGGAAGCATCCTGCCTTCCTAATTCCGGGAGAGTATTAGCTGCAGGTTGGCAACAACCATTGCTTGGGGACCCCAGAGTGTGCATTGGAGTAACTGATGTCAGACGGGGGTCGGGGGGTTGGGGTGGAGGGAGGTGTGTGTTTTGGTGTGTACTAACTTGCACAATACAGGCTGAAGGTTTTTTTTAAATCGGAAGAAACCTTGGTACAAGAAATGTTTGTATGGCAGAAGCACTGAACAACTGGCACACTTTCACATTGTGTGGGCCTGTCTATAGATTATGATGTGCAGTTTCAATGGATAGTGTTTGGCTTTACTTAATAGCTGCTCATATGAACCTTTTAACCTTACCAATGGCTTAACTGTTCTGAGAGAGCTGACCGAATGCTGAGGCTACTGAATAACGCTTTTGCTGCGATGGTTTCATCTTCCATGTGGAAGGTATCTCTATTTCTTCTCAACTGTGGTTTGTCTTTGAAGGGGTACCTTAAATCCCCCCCACCCACAAAATTGGTTGTTTTCTTCACGGCTGTTCGTGGGATGTTGCCGTAAGATTTGGCTGCCATGTTCTTCTGCAAAACCCACATCTAGATTTAGCCAATCATAATTTAACCTCATCAAGCTTTAGAAAGGCAAGAGAAACCGTGATCAGAAGAAAATCGTCAGGAAACTAAAAGTAACCGTACCTTACAAACTGCACAGCTTATGCCAACAAGTGGAAGTGAAACACAGACCAGCTGTTTCCACTTTGCCGAGACCCAGAGTGATGTCTCTGTCATTTTTATATACAATATATACTGAAATATATATTGGCATCAGTTCATTCAAAGAGATAACTTTCAGATACAGGTGTACAGAGCCCCTGGGGACGAGAGTAACTCTGTGCAGTTGGACAGGAAGCAGTTTTATCATTTTAACTGTATGTACGAGTGTCTTTTATTTAATATATATGTAGATGTTTCTACAACATGCTGACTTCAGAGCACCTGTTTGAGGCTTTAATGAAAGGCAGGTGTGCCACATGCCATTAATTATTGGGCCTTTTTAAGATGTGTGGAATCAATCAATGGTGAGGTACTGCCTTGAAGCGAGTTTCTCTCTCCTGGTGTCCTTGGCCAACAATCCCCCAAATAAAATTGGTAATTCGCTGCCCACAAAATGCACTGTTGCTCTACTTTACCGTAAATCCTATGAAGCGCTTTGAGTCATCCCCTTGCCGTGCATGGGGCTATATCAAATGTAAAGGTCAGAGACCAGCAAGGTTTTCCTTGGAGGGTAATTAACGATTACCAGTTTGCCGAGTAGGGTGGAGGAAGGCAGGACTGCCTTGAGGGACTTGATGGATTGGATGGTAACATTAAAACGAAGCCACTTATTTCAGAGCAGTGTTGCATTACAAACACATGAAGAATATAATACAATACCCAGAGAAGTAAAGAAAAACTAAACAGAATATTAACTTAGCAATCGGTGGGACGGGGGAAGATGGTTTTGTTGCTCAACAGTGCCATCTCTTGGCAAGCTCAGAGCGTTCAACTAAAGCAGTTAGTTCCATTGCCTCGTCTCTCTGGCTATTAGCTGTGATTTCCCGCGTCCCTGCTCACAGTGCGCTGTCTGTCTCTGTCTCAGTACCGTTTGGTGGTGAAGACTGCACTGAAGCTGCTGCTGGTGTTTGTGGAGTACACTGAGAGCAATGCAGCCCTCCTGATCCAGGCTGTCAATGCTGTGGATGAGAAAAGAGGTGAGTAAGTCCTTGTCTGATGGATTCGCATTTGGTGCACGTCTCGAGTATGATGTTCAAGGCAGCACATCAAAGGCAGAAACTTGTGCACATCAAAACTAAGATAAGCATCAGATAAATTTAAATGATTTTTTTCTTCCGTGTGTGTATACGCGAATTCTTTAGAACATGTTTTAAGTTGCATTTAGAGGTCGGTGTGAAGAAGTGTGATTTGCTTACGCTGCTCTGCACTTTAGATTTCAACGGATTTGTAGAACGGTCTGCAGAACGAGGCTCAGCCTGGTTCAGTAGCAGCACTCTCGCCTCCGATTAAGAAGATTGTGGGTTCAAGCCCCATGTTGGGACCTGGAATCACATAGTCTAAGGCCCCAAATAAAATTGGTCACTCACTGCATGGCTGTTTGTGGGACATTGCTGTGCGCAACTGTCTGTAAAAGAAAGAGAAGCCGGTATGAAACAATGCAGCGGAGGATGGTAACAGCTGCTTGACCTGGAGGTTGCTCTTTGATGTAAAAAGCTGAAGTGGTTGCTTCCCCTGTCCTGTTCTCCCTCCCTCCCTCCATGGAGCTGGTGGTGAAGTTGTGACGGTGGATTGCCAGAACTCTATATGGCAGACAATTATCGCCAATACTTGTGTCCGTATTTACCATTAGGCGACCGCCTTGAGCGATGAGGAAGTCAATTGCTGCAGAGCTAACTTCATGGACAACCTCACCGAGAATACTCTGTGTCTGTGTTTGTGTGTCTGTGGTCGCCTGTGTTCGTGTGGTCGCCTGTGTTCGTGTGCGTGCCTGTGTGTGTGTCTGTGTCCGTGTCTGCACCTGTGTGCATGCGCGTGTCTGTGCGCGTGTGTCTGTCCACCTGTGTCCGTGTGAGCACGGAAGGAGGGTGGGAGGGGGGGGGAAGAAGTGTATCTCTGGGATATTCAATGTGATGAATGTGATGATGAATACATCACCAGCCTTGTATTCCCCCCCCATTGTGCTCCATATCATGTTTAAAAAGGTGACTCTTCTCCCTCCCTTGCATTTTATTTTGATCTAAGCCGGTAACTTAAATCTTTGCTTTGTTTGTTTTCAGACATAAAACCGTGGACGAATTTGATTGAAATTCTCCAAGAGAAGAATGGAGCTGACCTGGAGCTTCTGGTGTTTGCTATGACCCTCATTAACAAGGTAAAGACTGCTCTGCGTCAGTTAACCCGTTCACAGCCTTGTTCCTGTAGAAATTCAACGAGCCCCTAATGGAGGATGTGTTGCTGAACTGTTACTCGCGTGGACACCCTGCTCGTGAGCTGCGCTGTCGACAGGACGCACTGTGAGCGAGGCTGTTCCGAAAGGCTCAGACTTGCATGCGTTCCAGCCAAGCTTTGCTTCACAATAAGCTTCAAACGTACTTTGCCAACAATGAATGTGAACCAGACACAAAATGTTAGAGGAGGAAATGAGTCATGTTGGTCAGTGCACCCGCCTGACCCTTTCCCCCTGTAATTTATGGCTGTGTTTGTGGCCAGCTAATGCAAAGGAAAGGTTAGTCACTAAGGAGGTGAAATTCCACCTGGCTCGAGATTTACTCTTGTTCTTAGCACTTCCAGAGCGTCCAGGGTCAGGGCCATTTTTTAATCGTTTTATTTTTATTGTTTTATTTTTGACGCCAAGCCGGGACTCGGCAGGCAGGCAGGACCGCGATTTAATGTCCCACCTGAAGGACAGCAACTCCCAACAATGCAGCGCTCCCACCCCCCCCCACCCCCAGCATTGCAATAGTGCGTCAGCCTGGAACCATATCAGTTCAAAGCTGATGCCTAGAGCTTTACAGCTCAACAATAACCAGCCATTGCCATTAAATAGACACCAGTGTGTGAATGAGAGCAAGCAATAAAAGTCACGGGATATCTTTTACTGGGTACATGGGAGGAAGGGAGGGAGGGAGTAGAGCGAGGGAGAGAAATCTGAGAGGTTTTGACTACCTTGTTTGTTGTTGAGAAGAAAAGATCAGTTGCTGCCTTTTAGGTGTTGCTGTTCTACAGTGTGTACAATAAATAAATCAATGGTGCAACACAAATGCCTGTGTAATGGAGAAGGCAGCTACTTGGCCTGGAATGTGCATATTGTTGGTACTTTACATGCCCGAGAAACTGCTTTCTTCGAACGGAAATGAAACCAAAGTTGCACCTGAATTTTATATGCGTTACCATTTCCTATCGGATGTTCTGGCTTAGTTCAGTTTCTGCCTTTGGCTCGTGCGTTCCACCTTTGTACTCCAGTCTTTGATCTCGTGTCTTCATTTCAGCACCTTACCATTGGACCAAGCCCCTCTTGATTCTTTCCAGTCCCTCCTTGCGAATTTAGAGCCGCTATAAATCAAATCTTTCGCCCTTAATTCCCTTGGTGCATTTTACGCCGTTAAACATGGCCTGTTATGTGGCATCCACTGTACCTGCAGAACAGCTCAGGAGTAATTGGTTCCAGTTTCGATGGGTTCTTTGCTTTCAGATAAAAGCGCTTGCGTTTTTTGATTTATTTGTGCTACAGGCTGCTTGGAATCCCGTTCCTAATCTTTCTGGCATCCGGGGCCAAAGCAAGGCAACAACTAATCTTTTCTCTTCACAGTAAACGAAGCAGTCAAAGTCTTGAATCTCTTTCTCCCCGTCCACCTGGAAAATATTTCCTGTGACTTCTATTGCTTCTGGTTCCTATTGCACTATTTGAAAAAGGAAAGGAGTTTCTCCCAATGACCTGGCCAACAATACCCTTCTCTCTCTCCCCCCTTCCCTCCCAAAATAAATTGCTTCATGGCTGTTTGTTGGGCATTGATGTGTGCAAATTGGCTGTCCAGTCCGCTTACAAATACACCGTCACTACGCTTCACAGTATGTTCCTGTGAAGCGCTTTGGGACGTCTCACCGATGTGATAATGGAGTGATATCGAATTTGAGGATTATTATTATAATTTCTCACCTTTAAGATCGACAACACGCAGTCACTTTACTGTGAAGCGCTTTGAGACGCCCTCCCAAGGCGAAAAGCGCTGCCGCAACCATAAGGATGATAGGATGGTGAGATTCTGCCCTTTGCACAAACCTCCGCATTGCCTCTTTCGCCAGACCCTAGGAGCTCTTCCAGATCAGGACTCGTTCTACGATGTTACTGACTGCCTCGAGAAACTGGAGATGGAAACCCTCATCCAGCGGCACATGAAGAACAAAGTGATCGACCCAGACCTGAAGCAGCAATTCACCATTTATGAGGTCAGTTTATTTGCTCCACCTGATTCCGATGTTGGCTTTATCCCAGCCAACCATCTCCCCAACTGTGTGTCAGTGCCCAGGTGCTGTGGTAGCGCTCTTGCCTCCCGAGTCAGAAGGTCGTGGGTTCCAGCAGGGACTTGAAATTCCTTGGGCTGAGATGACGCTCCAATGCAAACCTGGGGTTGGGGGGGTGAGGGTTGCATTGTTGGATGTGCCGTCTCTTTGGATGAGACGTTAAACTGAGGTCCCATCTGCTATCCAGGTATGTAGCATCATTATTTGGTCGTACTTGCTTTCAAAATTGAGCATGTTAGCTGAGCATTTTTAAATGGTCTAAAATGCAGGGATTTACATGTTAAAAAGCACTTGCATTTGCTTTAATATCTTTCACGTTAGGACGACGTGTCAGAATGCGTCACCTGATTTACCGCTCTGCGCAAGGGGCGCTACATAAATGCAAGTTGCTGTTGTTGTGCTGTTCAGTGTGGTCGGTGACTGTGTATTCGGAGGGAAAAGGAGCAGCAGCCTTCTTGTGCACAGTAATGCCCAAAAAACAGCTGTGAAGAGGACTTTTGCCCAGGACAATGGGAGAAACTTCCTTTCTCTCTCTGAGCAATGCTACGAGATGTTTGATGTCCGCTTGCCAGAGCGGTGGATCCTCATTTTAGCGTCTTAACTGAAGGACGGCAGTTCCAACATTGCCGCACTTCTCCCAGCGACAGCCTAGAGCTGTGACATCAACGTCCTGACCTGGGGCTTGAACCTTCTGACTCGTAGGCGAGAGTGCTACCGACTGATACATTGAATTCCTTAAGTAAGAATCCAGAATGATGTTGCGTTGATTTGTAGGAGCTCCCTCTGACACAAAATCAAAATTAAAAGCTGCATGAAGGCACAAACAGGATCTGGATGGGTGCTCTGATACACAACGTCAACCCAAGTCATCGCTGCAGCAAGTAATAATAATCCTTGCATTTGATATAGCGCTTTTCACGTCTTCTAGACGTCTCAAAGCGCTTCAACAGAATATGCTGCAAAGTGAATTAACTGTATATTTGTGGGCGAAATGCGGCTGCCAATTACCCACAGTAGTGTCCCACAAACAATCGTGGATTGAAGTGACCAGTTTATTTTTTTTATCTTGAGGGATTATTATCAGACGTGCGGAGGAAGGAAACTTGCCCAACGTTTTGCACTGCCGGGAATCGAACTCAGGTCTCTAAGTAAGAATCTGGAGTTAATACAATTGATGTTCAATAAGGTGAAGTGAAGTTTGGATATGGCATGAAGCAACCCTAAACCTTTTATTGCCCTTTTTTTCCCCCCAAAAAAGATCAAATAGAGAACTGAATTAATCAACCTAAAACCTAGACATGTAAGTTTATGGTTTTCCGGGGAGGGGGTGTCTGTAGCTAAGCTTTGAGAACACATGGTAAAAGTTTCAGGAGAGCTGATCTCGATCAGAGTGGCACACTCCCCCACTCGTAGCTTTTATTACCGGTCAGCCTGGTTACTAATCTGTTTTACACACGGTTCCATTGATTTTTGTGGAAAAGTCGGTCTGTTGTGGAGGTTGTAGGTCCCATCATTGGAGCTCAGAGTCCAAGCAAACCCTTCAGTGAAGTGTTGGGGGTGGGGGGTATGGTACATTGCCAGGGTTGCAGTCCTTCAGATGAGACTTTAAACCGAGGTCTCTCTGCCTGTTCAGGTGGACATTCTCTTGAGAAGGGAACAGAGTCCTGGCCGACAACCCTAAACAAAATTGGTCACTCACTTCATGGCTGTTTGGGGGACATTGCTGGGTGCAGATTGGACTCCAAGTTAACCTACATAAAACAGGCATCAGGGTTTTACAGTCGATGACTGGGAAGTGCTTTGAGATGTTTCTATGTTATAGGCGTGATTCTAAAGGCAAATCTTATTTATTATTTAGGGAGTCTTGAGGCAATCACCTCCTCAGCATCTCTGCTCTCCCAGACCAGGTGGGACTTAATGCAGGAACATCACCTCTGAGCCAGAGTGAGATAGTGGCTTGAGGCTGATTGATGTAGCTGCTCACCCCCCACCATAGCAACACAGCGGAGATGAGGAGAGGACCAGGGGATCGCACCTGAGCTCCCCAACCCCTCCCCAAAATCACAGAGTGGTGGAAATCTGGAACTCTCTCCCCCAAAAGACTCTGGATGCTGGATTCATTCAAATTTTTATGACTGAGGTGGAATGTATTTTTGTTAGGAAAGGGTATCGAGGGCTATGAGGCAAAGGTGGGTAATTGGAGTTGAGGTGCAGATCAGCCACAATCTAATAAAATGGCGGAACAGGCTCGAGGGGCTGAATGGCCTCCTCCTGGTTCAACAGACAAAAACCTTATTAGAAAACTTTGAATCAAACTTTTTTGAACATAAAAGCGATGTGGAGTTTGGCAACTTTTACTGATGGTCTAATCCCATGGGGAGCAAAGCCAAGTCCCAGACTTGCACTCCACATTGCAACATGTGCAATAATGCAATTTCGGTCCAAGATTTTGTTCAGGAAGTGATTAATCTGTTTCTCGTTTTACAACCAATAAAGTCCATTTAGACCTTATTCATTGCACCTCCTCCAGGGCTCTTATTCTTGCCTGATGGTCATTTAAAGGCCAGTAGATGAGATTCCTTGACTGGAAACGTTTAAGTTGTGGAGCAAATCTGGCAAGTTTCTGTGTGAGTTACTGTCACTGGAAGTGTGAAATATGGGGGAGTTGCGTAGAACCGTGAGCGTTTATAGCACAGAAGGAACACCATCGTGTCTATTCTGCTATATATAAATGTACAAAAATCACAGCAAAGAACCTCAGTTTACAAAAACCTGCCAAATTAAAAGGAATTTTGATCATTCCTTACTTCAGAGAAGATTCCTCTGCAAACAGAATGCTAAAATCTTTGGTGCCATTGATTCATTTGGCTGGAAGGTGGCTGCATTTGTCTGGATTTGCTTAGGGAATTTGATGCAAGTTTCAATCCAGCCATCTATCCGTGTTGACTTATCTACGTGTGTTTCTCTCCCTGTGCCCCGGCCAACGATCCCACAAATAACCCGGGTCATTTCACTTTATGGTTGTTTGTGCGATGTTGCTGGATGCAAATTGGCTTCCGTTTTCTCCACACATTCACTCCACTTTATAGTGAATCCTAGCGTACAGTTTAGCGAGAGGACTCGGGTTTGATTGCCCGGCGGAGCGAAACTTTAGGCAAGTTTCCGTACTCCACACGTTTCTGTTTACCTAGCAGTACATAGTAAACCCGTTGATTGGCGGGTTATTTTCCAGGGGTAATAATCCCTCCCCTAAAAAGAATTTGGTCACTGAATCCACGACCGCTTGTAGGGCACTGCTGTGCACAATTGGCTGCCACATTTTCTCCCACAAAATACAGTCAATTGACTTTACAATATATTCTGTAAAGCGTTTTGAGATATCTCAATGACGTGATAAGGCGCTATATCAAACGCAAGGATTATTATCCTTAGGGAGTGACCGTGGCCTATTACAGAGTGAGCTTTACTCTCCAAGAAAAACTCAGAAAAAGCAGCATTAAGTTCTGCAGTAAATCACGAGCATCGTAAGGAGGCAGAGGGTTAAGGTTAAGCATTTGTGCACCTCTGTTCAGAGATCATAGCCAGAACGTTAATCTATCTTTTTGTTTCACGTGCTGGCTGGTCTGCCGTGCATTCCCAACATTTTCTGGGTTTATTTTAAGATTTCCAGTGCTGCCAGATTTTCTTTTTATCCTTAAAAGAATCAATGGCATGTTTAAAGGGGTGGTGGGGGAGAGGAGTAAAGCTTTAAATTTCTAGAAACCATTGCCAATTCATATGGTTTCTTCTCCATTTTATCTACAGATTGAGGTTCACCGTGTCTTGTGCCAGCCTGGCTCAGTTGGTAGCACTCTTGCTACCTTCTGAGTCAGAAGGTTATGCGTTCAAGCCCCACATTAGGACTTTGAACTCACATCGTCCAGGCTGACACTCCAATACAGTGCTGCGTGTGTGTTTTGGGGGCTGATGTCCTTCAGATAAGACTTTATACTGAGGTCCCACCTGCCTGTTCAGGTGGACGGTAAAGATCCTGTGGCATTGCTATAGAGAAAGGAATTTCTCCCAGTGTCCTGGCCACTCACTCACTGGCTGTTTGTGGGACATTGCTGTGTGCAAATTTACTGCCTTATTCTGACTTATTCCTCACTGTTTACCTAAGTACTGCATTGCTTTTGCTATCATTGCTCATTGTCATATATTATAATAATAATAACAATCCATGCATTTGATATAACGACTTATCACATCACTAATCAACTCAAGGAGCTTCACACAATTTTTACTATCAGTGTATTTTGTTGGCAAACTCGGCAGCGCATTTGCACATAGCAATATTCCACGAGTGACCAATTTTATCCAGGAGATTGATTGCCATATATAAACACTGAGTTATAACACCAGCAGAAATCGACTGATACTCTTTAAAGCTGATGATGTTGTTCATGATTTTGAGAAATAAGAAGCCTGTCAGCTGGTGTAACACAACATGTTTTTGAAGTCTTTTGATCGTACAATCGTTTAGCAATGCTTGATTTTTTATTCTTTTTTGGTCATCCTTATATGGCATAACTTTATGGCATTCAAGCTATTATTAGATTTCTGTGGAATGATGTGCAGAACACTAAATGAATACTGTCACTGAAAGTATGAGGTCAGACTCACTGTATTTCAAAACATTCAAGTTTGCCAGCGTTTTCAAAGCTGTAGGAAAGCTGGAACCAGCACCAACACAATAATAGTAATAATATTCCTTTGATTTGATATCGCGCCTTATCACGTCGTTGAGATGTCTCAAAGCACTTCACAGAATATACTGAAGTGGATTGACTGTATTTTGTGGGCGAAACACGGCAGCCAATTACGCACAGCAATGTCCTACAAACAGTCGGGCTGAGTGACCAAACCCCAATAGCCTCTGGATTGCCTCTTTCATACTTCAAACGCCCTTTTACTGTCGTGATGACATTTTCGGAGAACTTTACAGCCTTTTGGCCCAACCACAAAAAAACACTGGCATTTACATAACGCCCTTCACGCCGGACGGCATCTCAGAGTGTTTGATGAGCAACTAGTCCATGGCGGTGTTTGTACACCACCCGAGTCCCTGTGAATCCCTTCCTAAGGGTAATCCAGGCAGCTCATGGGTTTTGTGCTTCTCTGACTTTGCGTTCTGTTGTTCTTGTTCCATTCATTCAGGGCGTGTAGTGGAGAGCCTCTGACATCTTCTGGCCCTGTGTGTGCAAAGGTTTATGTGATTCAAAGGCTTTTTTTTTAATCCCAAGGAGATGTGAATCCCAGATGTTCTCCAGATGTTCTGCAGTTCTAATTGTGGGTTTTTCTCGATCCAGAACGCACTGAGGCACGAAGACGGCGATGATGACGGACAGATGTCAACCGTGCGCAGGAGGAAACTGGGTCCGAACGTGGACGAAGGACGGAAAAACAGGCGCTCGTCAGGTCTTAACACGGCTGAGGCGCTGGATATTATAAGAGCCACTAGCCCAGGACATTTCCTCAGTCCAGCCCCAGAAAGAACCATTCTGAGTATCACTAAGGATCCCAAACTGAATTCTCCCCAAACAGCAGAGCCTGATCGTCCTGAAACAACGTCAGCTAATCCTGTAATCACGATCAATGCCCCCAGTTTGCCACCTTCAACCACAATGGAAACCATGTCATCTTCAAAGCAGTAAGTTCCTGTATGGCATTCATTCCTGCACGATTGACTAAATTGTTCGACACTTTGGAACATCTAATATTTTTGAAATATGCCTTTGTGTGGAGTGGAGTTCATTCCATTGCTTTGCCTTTCGCTGTGGTGAGATTTAATGTTGCAAACTGCATGCGCCACAACCTCTATGTTGCAATTGAAGATGTGTCTAAAAGAAACTGGCTTGTTGGGATGGATCTATCGACTTGTGTGGGCATATGATCTTTTTGCACCCCATGCTGGCTGTGACTTTAGGATTGAGCAGAATGAAGTCACGGTTATTGGATTAAAACTGGTCTTTGCTTACCTACCTGGTATTCAAAACCACTCTCGACGCACCTCATCAATGCTCACACAACACACTGTCAAACAGGGTGTTGAGCTGCATTTCTAATAATAATAATAATAATCCTTGCATCTGATATAGCGCCTGATCACGTCAGTGAGACATCACAAAGGATATACTGTAAAGTGAATTGACTGTGTAGTTTGATCATTAGCAATATTGTCAGATAACCCCTAATGGTACAGCATGCTGGGCATCAACTTGGTATTGGTGCATGGCATTTACCAGCCAGCCTGGAGATTCTGTGCACCATGACAGATGTGCTATCCTAGATATAATAATTGTACAAGATTTCCCCCCTCATTTTTCTTACCCCACCTTTCTTCTGAAGGTTGAGATATGGTCCCATGTTCTTGGCTTAGCCTGTGAGCAGTGCAGGTGAAGCAGTTTCTCAATCTGATTACAGACTGGGTTCATGAGAGCTGTAGATTAAACCATAGAGATTAATTTTTCTACAAATCTCAAGTCTGTTAACGCCTTCAAACTAGACTGATTCCGATCTCTGAGTGAGGATAGAAAGTTCCTCACTTATCTCCATCCTTTTATATCTCCTTAACCATCTTTACTGTAGCAAACTTTTTAAATCGATACATAACTGCAACCTTACACTCCCCACTGTCATGCCATTGAATCTCTGGCGTAATGGTCGACTAATGGTTCTGTCTAGAGAGTTCCTGGTGCGGTTCATTAATAATAATCCTTGCATTTGATATAGCGCCTCATCGCATCTTTGAGTCGTCTCAAAGCGCTTCGCAGCATGTACTGTAAAGTGAATTGACTGTGTTTCGTGGGCAAAATGCAGCAACGCACAGCAGCGTCCCACAAACAACTTGTTTAAAGCGCTATATCAAATACAAGGATTTTTGTTATTATTTCTCAAGCGTGACATTCTTTTCTCATTGACGTCTTACCCTTTGTGGCATGATGAAGCTGATAATTATGATTGCCCTGACTGCAAATTATCTTTTCCAATGCTTACCTCACAACGCAGCTGTAAGAGGCCGGAACTCACTTTAAACCTTGGTCGAAATAACCACTTTCATTTCACTGAGTTTTTCAAGTGGAATGCTGCTTTTGTCATTGCTGTAAAACAAATATTACCAAACACTCGAGATGCAGGAGGTGATGAGTAATGGTTGACTACTTAGAATAAATAAGCACAAGGAGGCTGATGAAGATGCCAAGATGAGGCATGGTGAATGGTATGCCATGGCATCTGTAGTTAAACAACAACTTGCCTTTACATAACACCCTTCACGCTGGAAAAGAAGCATCTCAAGCCACTTTAAGGAGCTGGACAAAGGTCACTGTCAATGGCAATGATAGGTTGTGCCTCCTCCTCACAGTCCATTTGTGTCTAATTAATAAATAAGTGTTACATTTAAGCCCCATATTGCGACTTCGAGCTCAATCTTGGCTGACTCTCCAGTGCAGTGTTGGAGGTGGGCTGCATTATTGGAGGTGTTGTACTTCGGATGAGACGTTAAACTGAGCCCCCATCTACCTGTTCGGGTGGACACTGTTTAGATCTAACTGCACTATTCAAAAAGAGAAGAGAGTTTCTCTCTCCCGATGTCCTGGCCGACAATCCCCCAGATCAAATCGGTCATTCGCTTCATGTGGGCAATTGCTGCGTGCAGATTGATTGCTGTGTTCGCTTACAAAATAGTCACGACATCTTACAGAAAATCCTGTGAAACGCTTTAAGTTCTTTTGATGTCAAATGTAAGGACTATTATTACGGTCCAGGGTAGGGCTGAAGGAGCACTGCATTCTCATAGATTCGGTCCTTTGGATGAGACATTAAATTCTGGTGATGACATACCCCGAGGTAGCACTGAACACTGTCCAGCTGCCACGGTATTCATTGTTATGGAGCCCTGTAACGTAATGGTTAGCAGCTCGCCTCGCAAGCGAGAGGGCCTGGGTTCGATTCCCGGGCAGAGCGAAACCTTATACAAGTTTCCTTACTCCACACGTCCTAGCAGTAAGTAGGAACCCAGTGGTTAGTAGATTGGTGGATCGCTTTCTAGGGGTCAGCATCCCTCAAACAATGATTTGGTCACTCAATCCACATCTGTTTGTGGTTCACTGCTTACACAGTCAATCCACTTTACAATATATTCTGTGAAGCACTTTGAGACATTCTCAATGATGTGATAAGGCGCAAAATCAAGTGCATGGATTATTATTTATCAGAACGTTTAGCAAACTGGGTTTGTGGGCTACACCGTGCTAGTTTTCTTTTGGCCTCTTCCCTGTAAAATGCACATGATTTCTTGCAGCCCGAATGAAGTTAAAATCAAGACGCTTGTTATGTGTGTGAACTGGTGAAGAGGAGGAATGTTTGAGCTGTTTTCCAGCGCACATACCACACATATTTTCCGTCGCAAACCTCCTGGAATAGATAAGAAAAGGGGGAAATCAAGGAATGTGATGAAACGTGAAAGCAGGATGCCTTGTGCGTCTCCTGAAACCACCCCTGGCACATATTGAACAATCCAGCTATTACTCCGCTCGTGCTTTGGTTGCGATCGTCAAGAACTCCACGAAGCGTTATGCTCTTTCGTGTACCTTCCATTGTGCTGTGTAATGGCGTGCTTTTGACACGACAGCACTGTGGGGCTGACGTGGATTAACCATCTTTAGTTGGTCAGCCAGGTGTCTGACACACATGGAAACCCATCACCATGCTTAAGAGTATCCAAACCAGCCTGAGAGTTCCACCTGTGTACCTACGTATGTTGATTTCCCTGCGTCTCGAATGGAATGGGTACTCTCTCTCTCTATGGGATGTACCCTGCTTTCTGAATTCTGGAGAGGTGCAGGTTGGCAAGAACCAAGGCTCAGAGTGTGCGCTGACTGGGACACTGGGGGAATTTAACCAGCTAAGACCGCAATTGAGAGCACTGTCTGGCAAGCTTCCTGTTACTTGTCCAGCTAGGACCACCCATACCCGTTAGGTCTTTGACTTGCGGAGTTAACAGGAGCTGAGTGGGAAGGATTTCTACCTCCATTTAGCAATGAGCAAGGCTGCCTCTGTCATCAGCTGTGCCTTGGTTTAACCACATAGTGGCTGTTGGTATTTACCTATTTGGCTGAATTTTAAAGCATAAACATGATTGAAAACGACGTTTTTAAAGGAGAGTTCAGCTAGACCCTATTTATTGAATGAGTAATTTGCATTACACAAGGCACATGGTTGCCTTGTACAGTAAATAGCAGATTCACCAAAAGGTTAGTATAAAATACATAGTTCTATGACACTTTGATACATAGCTTTCACGTCCTCTGGGGCATGCACATGCTTCTGACTTTAGTTGCGAAAGCTTTTTTCAGTCGTAACGCGTTCTTGTCGGTGCTGATTCATGGAAAGGATTTGCTAACATTTCCTCCCAGATCGGAATGTGTTTGTGTACCTATGTCTGGGGAAACAGGCACCTAGTCATCTGATTTAAGCAAGTAATTGTTTTTTTCCCCCCCATCTCCCATTCACTCTTGCCTGTTTCGGTGCTGTGCACTCAGTGTGATTCTATGAATCTGTTAACAATGGGTTCAGGTGTACCAAGGAGGCAGCTCAAGAGGTCCAAGGTACAGACTATTTTAGGACAGATACCGGAGATTATTGCTTTAACAGAGGATTGTAAATGACCGTAATGGATAATTAGGCACGGTTATTCGGCAAGCCACTGGACTCATTTCAACAGGTTGTTTCAAATCCTACAATGAGACACCAGCCTTGCCTTCTGCTCTGCCTGGCAGTTTTACGTGATGGTTCGGACATTACGTGTTGAAGAGGGTGGAAAGCCAGGAATTATTTGGCAAGTATTAAGCCTGATTTGTTGATTTGAAGAGGTACACACATCGCTGAGCGAGCAGAAATGTTTTCATTCACTGATCCAATTTGACCAGATGTGTCCGCAGGCTTTGCGTTTTGTTGACAAAATATTATTTATTGGCCAAGTGAACTGAGGACAAATCAAGTCTGCAGCTGTGGGTGGGGGGGTGTGGGGGGGGGGGGGGAAGCGGGAGGGGGGCATGGGATACATACAATTATACAGCACAGAAGGAGGCCATTCAGCCCATCGTGTCTGTGCTGGCTCTTTGAAAAGAGCTGTCCAAATCGATGTATTTACGTGTATTCCCGTGGCTTCCAGTGGCTTTCATAGCGGAAGTTTCATGACTTGGTTGAAAGTCTTGTGGAAGTCAATGTACCCAACTTAGTTAGGTTTCCCATTAGCTGCAACCTGACCCATGTTCCTCATCAAGACAAAGCCACCGCTGTTCCTTCTCGATCAAAACCTGAGCCTCTAATGCACGCAGTTACTGCCAGAAACAACAGGAAGTTAGCAAGAATGTGATATTCCATTGTCAAGGATGTCACTTTGGAGGCTGTTCAAATTCAAGGAGCCCCCGTCATTTCCCAATTAAATATTTGCCAATTAACTAACAAATTCCCTCTTGATTTGCCAACACAAACTGTCTCCTCGTCCCTTCCACATACTCACTGCTCTGGGCGGTCAATTCCTCTATCCTCTCAGCTCGATTCTCCAGCCCCCAATGGTGCTGTATGTGATTCCCACTTATATTAAAAAAAAGGTGGGGTGTGGGGCAAGTCTGAAGGGAGATGGGGTAGTTTCCTGCCTTCAGCAACAGTCATTTGTCTAGGGAGAATGTGCAGTTAACAATCTTATCGGACTGGCAACAGGTACAGTCATACAATAAAATAAAATATACATGTCCTTGCTACAGTAAAGACATCTCTATATTGGGGGCTGTAGGCTGGAGAGCAGGGCTGGGGGGGTTGGTGGTGAGGGAAGGTAATTCTCCATGGATTACATGTTCACATGACTCTAGGATCTGCGTGGCTCTTGCTCTTCAGCACAGGAGACCACGAGAGTGCTGGAGTACACGGCCACACAGTGTAACAAGAAACCTTGTCAGAAGGGCATTGTGGATATGAAGGGGAGATTGGCATCATCTTTTACGCAGCTGCTGCACACCTCAAAGGCATTGAAGCCAACCCCCAGCTGTGTGCTCCTCAAAACAGCCTCCGGTATCAAATACCGTTTCCTTCATCGCAAGCGTGCCTGTCCTCTGTGCCTGGTATACGATTTGACCAGTTTACTGTCTACGTGTACTTCGCAGTACTTTACAAACGTGCCCTATCGTGCTCAACACCAGGGGTGGGGTAGCGTGAATGACCGAGGCAGGGAACCCTGACCACACGCTCACCAAAGTGCAGCTTTTTTTTTATTGCATGGCTCCAAACGTGTGATCTCTGCCTGCTGTGCACTTCAGTGAACTATTCGGTGATTTACGTGGCTGGTTTTAGTACCCATTTCCATTGCATGACGTGTTCGGCGGGCAACCCTTCCCAATTACTCAACGCAGATCTCCTTCTCACACCTCTGGTCCTTTTTTTTTACTAGGGAGCCCTTGTACGTCAGCAACTATGTAGCCTCTTCTTTCACGAAGAGGCCAAGCCTCGCTAGTCAAGAATCGGACGAGAGTGCCCCAAGCCCCACCAGGTTTGTGTTACGACTAATCTCCGCCATGACGGAGCTCGATTCTGTGTAATCAGCAAATTGACAGCATGCTTGTTACAGGCTCGAAGAGGTAATTTGGAAGCATTTATCGATGCTTCCGCTGCTGTTAAGTAAGAGAGGATGAAAGCCTGTTTGGGAGAGGAGTAGACGACTGAGGTTTTACACCATCAGCCAGAAACCAATTGAAAAAATAAATCTAACATTAAATCATCGCTTTAGCCTGTCTTCCACCGTTTCAGTTGCTGCTGATTGTGTGCACTCATCCTGTAATGCTGTTTAGAGTTGTTCAGGGGACAGTCCTGGGCACAAACAGGCTGCTGTGTTTACCCTCAGAATACACAGTCACTGCTCCTTGCAGTAATTCCTGTGAAGCGCTTTCAGGCATCCTCCTGGCATGAAAGGCGCTGTACGAATACAATACAGATTTACAGTTATACAGGGGCTTTCACATCAGGAGGATGTCCTAAAGTAGTCCTGTAGCTCAGTGGTTAGAGCACTCACTTTGGGTTTGATTCCTGGCAGGATGAAACCTTGGGCAAGTTTCCTTACTCCATACGCCTGATAATAATCCCTCAAGAAAAAAAACAATAATGAATTGGTAATTTCAGTCCACAACTGTTTGTGGGACATTGCTGTGTGCAATTGGCTGCCACATTTTGCCCACAAATATACAGTCAATTCACTTTACAGTATATTCTGTGAAGCGCTTTGAGACGTCTAGAAGACATGAAAAGCGCTATATCAAATGCAAGGATTATTATTATTGTTATTAAAGCTCTGACTCAGACTCAGTGACCACTTCTAATGGATTCCCCCCAAAACAGCTGTCTGAGTGAAGACAATTCTAACCTCTCCACTAATTCTAACCCTGAGACTTATGACTTCTTGCCACCGATTCCCACCTAAACAATTGCCTGTAACATATGTCTCTAACTTCTGGTTTAATTTACAGTGGTCGTTTTTTTTTTGGAAAGGTAACATTTTTAACATTCAAAATCAATCCTATATCAATGTGCATCGATGCGAATACAACTTGTTTTGATAAGCAGCTTCCTCTGTACAAGAAAAAACAATTGGTTAGTGTTTCAGTGATTGTTGGTGATTCAGCGAGCACCAGCCAGGGTGTGATGCTTACGGTCGAGCAGGAATTTACTTTGTCTGCTTACTCCAATGATACATACGTGTGTGTGTGTATGGGGGGGATTAGCGTTCGTGGGGTGGGTTTTTTTTACTCGAAAGGTGCTGAGGCGATGACTTTTTTGCTGTGTACATCAGGCATTTTAGTTCCGGTCTTGTAAAAAATTCCTGTCTTCTGTGCAAAAATAAAACGAAACACGTGCCCGTATATGAAAGCTGTCTTGTTTTTCTCTGCCCGCAGCCCCAAAATCGTGCCATCATTGCGAGTAAGACAAATGTGCCCGACGCCATTTCTTCAGAGGAGAAAGCGGGCAAGAGAGAAAGAAACATCTGCAGGTACGTTTAGGCCACGGTGGATCAGAATTATTTTTTTTCAGCGTTTCAAGTCCTCCTAACCTATCTTTTCACCAACACGCTGTATAGGCAAGATGGGAAATAAAGATGGTTGACGCCAAACCAAGGCAACGATCGACAGTGCACAAGTGTTGAGAGAGTGCTATGTGTATTCTCGCTCTTACATTCCCATTACGCACAGCCTTCCTCACGTGAGCTGCCCATTCGGCTGTGGCCATCGGTATTTGCACCTCCTGTCCTCCGCAGGGGAATTGTTTTCCTTTTTTCCGGCATGCAGATGTAGCGAGAAGCTGAGTATCACTGCACGATAGCAGACTCTGTCGTCCGAAGCGCTTTCAAAACGTTTTAACGTCGCGAGTTGCCATATTGCAATCACTTCACGTTTCATTAAGGCTTTTGTCTTCGAGCGTGTGAATCGGATATTATAAAACCGCACACCCCTCTGCACTCCAGTTGACTTGGTACCTGTAAAGAGTATTAAACATCTAACGTGTCTGTTCTGAAACCACTCTTTCCCCCCCAGGGCAGGCTCTGTTAGGGATAAGCCAGTTCTGAGAAAATATGAGTAAGTATGTGGAGAGGAGATCTTGGTTGCGTGTGTCGATCTGTGCTGTTTTCTGGTCTGCTGACGAGCGAAATTTGGTTGGGCTATTTTATTATAGGCACGTCACAGGCCTGGAAGTGTGGATGTCAGGGATATTGGAACAGATTCTGTTTGTTAATAGGCTAATAAACATTCTCATTGATGGCCGCTCAGATTGAGATCATGTCGTTGCCTCCTGGCTACAGCTGGTTCAGCCCCGATTCAGTCGGCAGCACTTTCGTCTCTTGAGTCAGAAGGTTGTGGCTTCGAGTACCACATTAGGAATTTCACAGTCTGGGCTAAGACTCCAATGCACTCCTGGGGGAGACTGCATTGTTAGATGATGAGACGTTCAATTCGGTCTGTTCGGGTGGACGTTAAAGGTCCCGTGGCAGTATTTGAAAAGAGGAGAGCATTTCTCCTGGTGTCCTGGCCAACAATCCTGGCCCCAGATAAAACAAATCATTCACTTAGCGGCTGTTGGGGCTCTCCTGGTCCTCATTTCCCTACAAACACACAGTCACTTCACTTCAACGTAAACGCTGTGAAGTGGCTTTGAGAAATTTCGACAACATGATAAGGCAATAACAACAATTTCAAATCAGGCAATATCATTATAATATCAAATGCAAGTATGATTATTATTATTATTATGGATGTACGTCTAAAGACGAACAATCATTACAGAGTTTTAAAAAAGAACTAAGAATTACTGACGCTCCCACTTAGCAAATTAAAACAGTCGATGACGACTTGCTAGTTTGTGATGTAGTTGTTGGTAGATATGGTAACTTAAGACACTGCCTGCTTCTGACAGGCTAATTGTAGAGCAAGTCTTGCTTTCAAAAATGGCAGGCCTATAATAAGTAGAACATTGGAATGATGTACTTACTGGTGACTGGGTCCTGACGTGAATTATCTGCAACTTGCTTTTTTTTTTGCCCGTAATTGCTTGTAATTGCCTTGTTTCTGGAAGCTGCCGTGATGTGTTCTTTTCTCAGTGGAACTGACCAATTGCATGCCATAGTTTGCTGGGAATAATTTAATAATAATGGGAATAATGATTGATGTATTTGGGATGTGATGGAGATGATGGTAATACCAAACTCTGATATCCAGTGCTATCGTTTTGGGCTGGGACGTATACGTGGGCAATGATTCCATTCCTGTGACTGCATGTTTGATTTGGTGCTTGGTGTAGAACATAATCTGGGTGAATTTCCACCCCCTCCTGCCTCAGCGTGTCCCAAGTTGCTGTGCTGGGATTTGGGTGCTTGCTGGACATGTAACCCTGAATCATTTGCCCCTGATCTTTCAGGAATCACTTTCTAAACAGCCTGGCAGCCACCCAAAAGGAAGTCAACTCGAATGTAGCCACGCACCAGTTCACACCAGAAACCAAGTGCTGTCCAGAAATCATCACCTCCCCGGTGGCTGACAAACTCACTAATGGTAAACTCTTCCTTTACCTTCTTACATTTACTATTTGTTTGATCACAAATCCCTTCCCCGATGCTTGTTCATGGCACGCTGGCCAATGTTTTTGAAAATATCACGTTTTATTCACGACTGATAATAATAATCCTTGCCTTTGTGATACAGCACCTTATCACATCATTGAGACGTCTCAAAGCCCTTCACAGGATATACCGTAAAGTGGATTGACTGTATATTTTGTGGGCGAAACATGGCAGCCAATTGCACACAGCAATGTCCCAAAAACAGTTATGGATTGAGTGACCAATTTTGTAAATGACCAATTTATCCAGAGCTTTGTTGGCCAGGACACTGGGAGAGGAATTCCCTTCCGGTTTTGAGTAGCACCTTGGGACCCGGATGCATAATCTGAGGTAGAACTGGACTGATAATACCTGCTGCTGCTACAAACCAAGAGAGCAAAGTGTTGATTCAGAATCTGCCAGATACGCGCAGGGGAGGTGAAGGGAAGGGGAAGCTATAGGACCCTCTATATTCCTTATCATTTGAGTGAAATCAAAGGGAAAACGCGATGTTCTATCAGCACTTGGGACTGCATAATACAACCTTTTTGTTTAACTTTGCATTAAAAAGCAGAAGAATGTGAACGAATATCAAAATCGTCCTTTTAAACTCCCTTTTAGATCTTCTGCTTGCTATCTTATATTTATGTTCCCCCCCGATCCTAATTTTATATTCTTCAAGCAGCAGGAAAGCTTGCCAGACAAAGATATCAATGGCAAGCTGTGCGGTTTTAGCTGGTTAGACTCCAGCAGTTGCCCCAACGCACATACTCTGGGGTCCCATTGCTTTGGTTCTTGCCAACCTGTGCCGAATACTTTCCGAAATTAGGTAAGCAGAACGGGTCCCTCCAGGGAGAGTGCGTATTCCATTCCAACAATCTATCTCTGGGATTTCCATGTGTAGCTGGGATGCATTGTAAATCTCAGCTTGGTTTGGATACTGTTAACATGGTGATGGGATGTCTGCATGTATCAGACACCCGGCTGACCAAAAAAATATAGTTGTTTAGCTTCCCTTTTTCACAACCTGGCTCAAGACTTGTCTGCTTCATCGGATTTTTTTTTAAGGTAACAAACTGCAACCAACAAAACTTTATGGACTGTTATATGACTTGTGTGGTCTTTTTCTTTCACTTTCTTCCTCTCCTAAAGGTAGCAACTCTGCGACAGTTGGTTCCACAGTCACTGATTGCCTCTTGGTCCAATACAATTCCCGTTTATATAGAACCTTTCACGCTGCATGGATCTCTCATAGCACTTTACACAGCTGGCTGGGTACCTGAGCCTGTGTGTGTGTGTGTGTGTGTGTGCATATATATATATATATATATGTGTGTGTGTGTTTGGTGGGTGGGGGAAAGATCACCGAAGGTAAGTCGCGAGGTGGGTTTTGGAATTGGAGAGGGAGGGGAAGTGAGATGGAGGGACTGTGCAAAGAACTATCAGAGAAGTGGGGGCAGAATGGCTGAAAGTTTCCCATTCCAGTCACTGATGAATTGCGCAAGCCAATCTGACTTCTTTAGCAGCTATTTTCACTGCAATCATCGGTGAAATGAATCATGGCGGTGAGTTTACTTTGCAGCGTGGGAATCGCTGGGAGCTTGCCAAGCTTTGATGCGTTGGGTCTGAGTCTGGCTGTTGGCTGTGTTTCCGTGCCTGTTGTTATTAACGTGGATCGTGACTGTATCGTAAGGCATTGCTTGCTGATACAAAAAGGCCAATGTTCTACTCCCCCCTTTTGTTCCTTGCAGTTGAGGTGCTCAGTGAGAAAGAACAACAGAATGAAGGTTTAAATGAAAAAGACCCATGTTCGGCTTCCAGCAGCTCCTCAGCCGGCAGTACGTTGGAGAGGGAAGCGAGGGGAGACAGACAGGCGGGCGATAATGAGACAGGCAAGAAAGATTGGATCTTTGAGTATCCGTTCCTTTCCCCCAAGAGCAAAATGAAGGAACATCTGCTAATAACAGGCGGGGAATTATTGTATGATAAACAGTAAGAGATATAACCGAGAAGACTCATAAATCGTTTGATTAAACCATTTGGGCTATTTTATTTTCTCTCTAGAGCCAGCTTTCCTCCACTGTTTTGTGTGTGGCTGATAGAAAGAAGCATTGAAAATATTGTTTTCCCTCTGAAAGTATCCAGAGGCTTATCAATGTGATCAGGAAGGGTTCTGGATTGCTTTCAAGACTAATTGCACAATTAGCTGCTACTCCCTTGCCTCGGGACAGTAAATTATGAGCAATTTGACAGTTTGGGGATAAAAAACAACTGTACGGGAGTTGTTTAGATCTGAGGGTCAAGCCTCTTTGCGAAGTGCAGAGAGAGAGAGAGAGAACCTTTTTATTTTGCCCTATTTAGTTTCTCTTTGGGAAAGCTGCACATCTGTGCAGACGGCAGAGACTCCAATAACTCTGAGTCAGCCTCTGTGACGAGCAGAAACATTTCAGCTTGTGGAATTGACGATGGTAGCATGCGGGAACTCAGGGGACTGTCTCTGCCCCAACCCTGGTCACTACCAAAGTGAGCAGAGTAGGTGTTGTGTGTGTGTGTGTGTGTGTGTGTGTTTATCACCAAAGTAAGCAGAGTAGATGGTGTGTGTGTGTGAGTGTAATGCGGCTCTTTATCTTTTTATTGTAAGTGGTAATGTAAAGCAACATTGACAGGCAGATTGTGCGACTTATTGACTTGTATGTTTGTGGACTTCTCCTTTTTTTTGATGCATTAACTCGTGAATTTCTCAAGCGACCTTTGTGTTCCGTTGGGCTGTAGGTTGCAGCATACTTCGCCAGTCCAGCGTGGAGCAGTGCGCTGCCATCTCCACCGACAAGAGGTTCATGTTGGACATGTTGTACTCCAAGAGCAGCAGCTTTAGCATGAGCAAGGACGAGAACCCCACCGAGAGCGCGAGCGAGAAGAAGCTGATTGAAGAGGCCTCGAGCGAGTCCACCGACCTCCTGATCAAGCGCTTCGATCGACAGCCCAGCCTTCAAAAAGAGGAGAGCCACAGGAAGCCCGACATTGAGAGCGTGCCGGGCAGCGTGAAGGCCACCGTGAACAGGTTCGCTGAAGCTCCGGTGAAGGCTCTGAAAGAGCAGTTCAGCATCGACGCCGAATGCAACGAGAAGAACCTGGAGAAGACTACCATCGCGACTCCGTTGAAGAAGGAGTCCGAGTACATGTGGGATCAGCTGGAGACCAGCCCGCGAGTGCTGAAGATCAAAGACTTGGACTTCACTGACCTGCGCGAGGAGGAGGACGTTGACGTGTTGGACGGCGACACTTTCGCACCCAACGAGCTGATGGGACAAAGTCCGGCACCGACATCTGGCGGCTCCAGGATCCCTCCCCCGCCCCCTCCCCCGCCCCTTCCCGGCTGCCCTCTCCCGCCACCACCTCCTCCCCCTCCGCTGCCTTTCAAAGACCCACCTGTTCCCCCTCCCCCTCCTCCCCCACCACCGCCTCCCCCCGCTCATGGCTCTCGCCTGCTAGGAGCCGAGTCTGGCTTCCCGAAGAAGAGGAAGACAGTCAAGCTCTTCTGGAAGGAGCTGAAGCAGTCCGAGGGCCCCTTCAAGAGCTGCAAGTTTGGCCGGGGAACAGTTTGGGCCTCGCTCGATCAAGTGAAGGTGGACACGAGCAAACTGGAACATTTGTTTGAGTCGCGAGCTAAGGAGCTGCCAACCAAGGTAAGCCTTTTGCCCAAGCCTCGGCTCCTGCCAAGCCCACGCCTAATGCTTTCCGGAATTAGGTTAGCGGAATGCATCCCTCCAGGGAGAGAGCAGAGAACGCATTCTATTCCGACAATCTATCTCTGGGGATTTCCACGTGTAGGTGGGATGCATGGAGTTTTCAGCTTGGTTTGGATGCTCTTAAGCCTGGTGATAAGTTTCCACGGTTGACCAAAATAAAAGCGATGCCCGAAGAATTACGTGCGAAGCCCTCGGATTCCTTTTTTTAAAAAAAAAGTTAGCAATCCTCATTGTCGTCAGCGTGACTCATTTGGCTGTTTGTGACTGGAATCGTTCAGAAAGGGTCAAATAGCAATGCCAATCCAATGCAAGTATGGCATTGGCGTATTTTGAGTCTCTGTGTAAGGGAATGTGATCAAAGTAAAACAGAACTCAATCCAGCCCAATGTTGGCCTGTCCGATGTCAGTGTGAATCAGGCTGGATTTCCCATAATAGCACCAGCCTCAATGTACGTTTATCCCTTGCATTTCTCCCCCCGCGCCCCCACCCCTCCCATCTTTGCTGATATTGTGTATCTGAAGGAGAAAGGCCCACAAAGGGTTTGGGGAGAGAGACGAGAGTTGCCTGGGTCTGGAGAGGGATTTCCCGTTTTTCTTTTCCCCCCACAGAGTAGCTCCCAGGCCGTTCTGACACGTTCCCTCCCTTTGAAGTTAATGGAGTCTCTCCTGGGTGCACGTCTGGCTGGCATTCAAAGTGGAATTGATGTTAGCATCAATGATATCTGGCAAGAGCCGAGACTTGGAGTCCCCAGAGTGCGCGTTGGGGTAACTGCTGGAGTCTAACCAGCTAAAACCACATCACTTGCTATTGATAGCACTGTCTACTGAGCTTTCCCGCTGCTTTTCCACCAAGGACCACCCTACCCATTAGGGCTTTGGCTTGTCGGGTTAATGGGAGCTGAGAAGAGTCAATGATCCAGTATCCCTTGGTACATCATCGGCAAAAACACAGGCTCTTAAATTTGCTCAATAGCAAATGGGAGACTGACCTCACACTTGACAAACTCTCAATTACTGGTAGTTGCATTACTTTGGTGTTCTCTGAATCCTATCCAAACCTCAATAGACAAATGCTGCTCCTGGAGCAAGATCTTTGCCACTTTACGTTGTTTTGGACATTTGGGGAAATGAGATTCTATGATTTCTGGCCATGAGTACAAGCGAGGAAGCAATAAAATGTCACCATAATCGCTCCCAAATGTTATTAGTGTTTGTTTTAAAGGGGAGAAAAATAAGCAATGTTTTATTGTTTTTTTTGTTTTAAAAATGTACAGTTTGATTCACTGGTGTGAGGACAGCGGGTGTTGTGGAGGGATGAGATCGCATGGTACGAAGGACCTTCTTCATCCAAACTAATCTTGTGATTCTTTGGAGAGAAATTCCAGTGGGATTTAGCTGAAAACTCAAGTGGATATTTGCATAAGCAGCAGCTCCCTGTTATAGACAGCTGGGGAAATGTGGTCTGTTGCGTTTTCTAAATGAATCTTTCCAGGCTAAAAGCCCATAGGCTCCGTCGAATAGGAAGGATCTTTAAGCGTGACCTGAAGATGCGGAGGGAGGGAGGGAGAGGGGGCGAGGTGGAGGGGTAGAGGAGGAGTGTTCCAGAGTTTCGGGGTGTAGTGGCTGACAGCGCGGCTACCGATGGTGGAACGGAGAGCACGGGGGGATATGCCTTAAAAAAAAACTCACATCGTTGGTGGCTTATCTTTCAGAAAGGAGCTGATGGGAAGCGACAGGGAGTCATTGTCTTGGATCCAAAGAGGAGCAACGCCATCAACATCGGGCTGACTGTCCTGCCTGCCCTGCACATCATCAAGAACGCCATCCTCAATTTCGACGAGTACGCGATCAATAAAGAGGGGATCGAGGTGAGGAAACCCGAGATAAATCTCATTCCGCAATAGCGCACGGCGGTTCTCTGACTCGCAGGCGACTAACTGAGCCAGGCTGACGTGGTGAGGTCACTCTCTTTGCACTGGCGCACGCAACCTTGATGTGGGTTATGAAGCGGGCTCTGTGAGCACTAACCAGTAAACACCGCGTTAATTAACCAATGGCAGCGTCGCTTCTTGTTCCATCACGTAACGTCAACCTTCCAACAGAAAATCCTGAGCATGGTTCCAACGGACGAGGAGAAGCAGAAGATCCAGGAAGCTCAGCTGGCCAACCCTGACGTCCCTCTGGGCACTGCTGAGCAGTTCCTGTTGACCTTGTCGTCTATCAACGGGCTGACAGCCAGACTCCAGCTGTGGGCCTTTAAACTGGATTACGAGGTCATGGAAAAGGTACGAGAGGTTAAGAGTTATGAGCGTTTCTTGGCACGAGTGGGATTGTTAGAAGCTGCATTGAAAGGTGGTCCTCTCCTGTAGAATGGCAAAGTCTTTCATTTGGGAGGAAGAGGATCTACATGCGTGGATTAGCCATTTAGAAGCAGATACCCCAACGCACACTCTGGGCCCCCAATTCCTCGGTGCTCAGCAACCTGTGTAGGGCTCCTTCCTCCAGGGTGAGAAGGAAATTTCCAGGCGTAGGTGGAACTCAGTGTGGTTTGGAGCACTCTTAAGCACAGTAGGGGTTTCCGCTTGTGTCAGACACTCAGCTGATCACACGGCTGATTCTGCTCCAATGCAGGAATTGTACTGAAAGAATGCCGACTTGTGAAATATAATTACAGTCTGGCTGGTGATAGATAGAAAACAGACGAAAAGATGACAATAATTGTTGCAAGATTATTTTTAAAGCCTTATTCATCCATGGCCCACTCAGCTTCTATTTCTCTTGGTCAGCTAGGTTTATTATAACGTGAGGAAACCCATCACCACGCTTAAGAGTATCCAAATGAAACAGAATTCCACGTGTTTGGGACCCCAGAGTGTGTGTTGGGAGTACTGCTGGAGTCTCGTCAGCTAAACCCACACAGCTTGCTATGACCTTGCTATCTGTTTCTATACATGTTTGGCCCATTAGTAGCCAAAATTGTCAGTGGCCGAACCCAAGTGGAATTATAGCTCAGATATCACTAATTAATGTACCTTTCACTCTGGTTTCAAATTCTATATTTAATACACGATTGTCTCTGAACTCGATCACGACTGCTGTTTAAAATGGGCTTCAAGGTGAGGTTTGATTGAAGCATTTTTAAAAAAGAAGAAAAAATCTTCTTGGTTTTGCAGGAAATAGCAGAACCTTTGTTTGACTTGAAGCTCGGAATGGAACAAGTGGCCAAGAATAAAACCTTCAAATGCCTCCTGGCCACCCTGCTTGCCATCGGAAACTTCCTCAACAGCTCCAGTGTAAGGAACAGCTTATAATAATAATCCTTACATTTGGTTAAAGCGCTTTTCACATATGGAGGGTGTCCCATAGTGCTTCACATAGTGACTGTGTGTTTTGTGGCTTAATAATCGAGCATTCAGCATCCCTACCCCCACACTCTGGAACTCTATCCTGCAATCCCTCCGCCTCAACCCCTCTCTCGCCTCCTCAAGTCCCGTCTAAAGACCCCCTTCTTTGACAGTGCTTTTGGCCACTCTCCCTCCCTGCCCTCCAACCCTCCTGACCCCAGCTCCCAGCTCGGGTCCAAAATCCCTGACTGTCGAGCTCCCTGGGATGTCTTTCCGACATGAAGGATGCTATACAAGTCTAATTAGTTGTTGTTGTAATAGTAACCAGCTGGTGTCTGAATCCCTTCGGCATTATTATGGTCTCAGGTTACTCACTTAACCCTCTCCTCTGTTCTTGTAGGCCAAGGGATTTGAGCTGGGTTACTTGGAGAAAGTGTCCGAGGTCAAAGATACTATTCAGAGGCAATCGCTGCTGTACCACACCTGTAACCTGGTGGTGGAGAACTTCCCAGACACGACGGATGTGTATTCGGAAATCGCAGCAATCACCCGATCGGCTAAGGTATGTGACGGTGACATCTCAAGGATCCCAGGGAATGGATGAGTTGATCCTAATCTGGGTTTATCTGTCGACAGTTAAATGTGAGCCATTTGATTTCGCAAATGATCGCAAGAAAATTGCATTTCAGGAGTTGCAATTGGGGAAGAATACGGTTTTATTAGAAAGTCCTAATTAATTGCCAAGCTTTAAAATTTACTACAGCCACATGTTGTGCTCCGATATCTGTCATCTTTGAATCTTTGCAGATAGAAGCGAATGAGTTATCGAAGATTTTTATAATAATAATAATAATCCCTGCATTTGATATAGTGCTTTTCACGTCGGGAGGACGTCCCAAAGTGCTTCACCGAACACACTGTAAAGTGAATTGACTGTATATTTGTGGGCGAACGCGGCAGCCAATTGCGCACAGCAATGTCCCACAAACAGTCGTAGATTGAAAATGACCAATTTATTATTGTTTCATTTTTGGAGGGATTATTATTAGGCTCTGTGTGGAGTAAGGAAACTTGCCCAAGGTTTCGCCCTTTATGTTTATTCCTTAATCGAGAGCAATAGTAATAATCCTTGCATTTGATACAGCGTCTTATCAAGTCGCTGAGACGTCTCAAAGCGCTTCACAGAATATAGTGCAAAGTGGATTGACTGTATTTTGTAGGTGAAACGTGGCAGCCAATTGCGCACAGCAGCGTCCCACAAACAGTCGTGGTTTGAGTGACCGAATTTCTAAGGAGTTTTTGGGGGGAGGGTTATTACCCCCGAAAGCGTTCCATCAATCGACTAAAGATCTGCACGTTATTAAGATAGCTATCCTAATCCTGTTTCATATGCTCGCTCTGACTTGTCGCTGTGTTCCAAGTTTAGATTGGATTTCGACCCTGTGCCTTGCTCCACCGGTTCACAGCTGGGAGCAGTTCCCGTGCTGAACTTGTCACTCTCTCTGCGCTCACAGGTTGACTTTGATCAGTTGTCCGAGAATCTGGTTCAGCTGGAGCGAAAGTGCAAGGCTTCGTGGGACCACCTGAAAGTGATAGCAAAGCACGAAACCAAACCCGTCCTAAAGAATAAAATGACCGAGTTTCTGAAGGAGAGTACGGAGAGGATCATCATTCTCAAAGTGGTACATCGTAGGATTATAAACAGGTTAGACTTCATTTTCTCTTCGTTTTCTTTCTTTCTTTCTTTCTTTCTTTCTTTCTTTCTTTCTTTCTTTCTTTCTTTCTTTCTTTCTTTCTTTCTTTCTTTCTTTCTTTCTTTCTTTCTTTCTTTCTTTCTTTCTTTCTTTCTTTCTTTCTTTCTTTCTTTCTTTCTTTCTTTCTTTCTTTCTTTCTTTCTCTCACACACACACAGATATATATATATATATACATATGTGTGTTTGGGTGTGTGTCTCTCTCTCTCCATGTCTCTCTCTTACCCCATTAGAGAACGTTTTCCCCAAGGGTGCGAGGTGAAATTTTTTATATATAAAAAAACATAAAGGTTGGCCCAGGAAGCGAAGAATCCTCTGGAGGTGCCTTTGTTTTAAGGGTTTAAAACAATAGCAACAACTTGCATTTACGTGATAAGGCGCTGTATCAAACAGAAGGATTATTATTATTATATATAGCGCCCTTCACACAGGGTAGCGTCTGTCAATGCTAAAACGTATTTGGAAAACAATACTGATTGTGGGGGGAGTGGTGGTGGGGGTGTGGGGGGTGGGGAGTGTTGTGGGTTAAACATTGAGATGTGTAACATCTCGGAGCAGAGACGAGGTATGAAGTGTGTCTCCCCAGGGAACCCCTCGAATGACCCCCTCTTCCCCCCCCCCTCTCCCCCCCACCCGACTACGACTACATCGCGAGCTGGGATCATGTACATGGGGTCTCCTGCAAGGAGTCGCACTGGTTTCCTGTGTCGGACACTTGTTTTTGCTGCCGGGGTCTCAACGAGCTGTTTTTGAACCGTGGGCAGATTCTGCGAAAGCGCTTTGAGACGTCTCGAAGGCGCTGTATGAAATGCAAAGGTTAATTAAGAGCACTGGTATGGTTTGCTGTGCTGCAGCACCCTCGTGTGGACAAGGCTGTCACCTGCCCATTAAAATCCCTTGAAACCTTTGCGTCGAAAGCAGACCAGCTTTTCGGTGGCCGACAAAATATCCATAGAAATAACAAACTAGCGTCGACGTACGTCATAGATCAAGAAATATTCAATCAGGAAGCATTTATTTTCTTGGCCAACTGAATAAATGTTGCTCTGGCCCCGTGAGTGTCACCGCATAGGCAACAGGTGGCGGAGAGGATATAATACTATATAATAATAATAATAATCCTTGCATATGATATGACAATAACAAGTTGCACTTATATAGCACCTTCCACGCAGGGTAGCTTCTCCGAGCGCTTAACAGTGGCGGAGCCTGACTCTGAGCTGGAGAGAGGGGGGAGGTGGCCGTAAGCACGGACGAAGAGGGAAGTTTTCAGGCGGAACTTGAGAAAGGGGAAAGAGGGGGCAAGGCAGAGGGATTGAGGGCGAGTGTTCCAGAGTTTTGGAGCGTAGTGGCTGAAAGCGCGACCTTTGATGGTGGGGCAGAGGGAGCGAGGGACAAGGATGGCTGGTGCCAGTCGAGCGGAGATGCCGGGTGGTGGCTTTGGCCGTGAGGGGGTTGGAGAGGAAGGGAGGTGCCAGGGAGTGAAAGGATTTAAACACGAGTGTGAGGATCTTGAAGTCGATCCGTTCGGTGATGGGGAGCCCGTGGATTCTGGCCAGAACCGGTGAGATATAGCGCCTTAGCACAGAATAAACTGTAAAGTGGATTGATTGATTGTGTATTTTGTGGGCGAAATACAACATATATTATGTTTGTGTATGTATATGTTCACAAATACACATACATATGCTCACCCCCCCCCAACACACACAAACACACACATATGTGCACACGTATATCACATACACCTATTTCCAGGATGAAGATCAATTATAGATTCCCTTCTGTTATCCCAGCTGAGCTCAGTTTATACAGTCTATAGGTGATGTGCTGTAGTGCTGTTTGTCCGTTGCTTCGCAGGTTCCATTCCTTTCTGCTGTATCTCGGCCACCCCTCGAACTCTGCCCGAGACCTGAAGGTCACCAGGTTCTGTAAGATTATCAGCGAGTTTGCACTAGAATATCGCACCACCAGGGAGCGGGTCCTGCAACAGAAGCAGAAACGGGCAGCCTATCGCGAGAGGAACAAAACCAGAGGCAAAATGATCACAGAGGTGGGCACGCTCCTATCCAACTCGTCCTTGTGCGTGCATGAACTGTGTAAATATCTTGCAAATGTACCACCTGTGCATTTCAGGAACACTTCAGTAACACAGGCATATACTTAAGAGGCCAGAGCCTCATTATTCGCAGCAACTTGCATTTTATACAGTACCTTTCGCACAGGATAGTCTCAGAGTTTTACAGTGGTGAGGCTAGACCCCGAGTAAGGGGGAGGGAGGGGAAGGTCACCGTAGGGCAAGTTGAACAGGTGGGATTTAAAGATAGATAAAGAGGGGGCGAGGCAGAGGGATAGAGATAGGGAGTTCCAGAGGTGTAATGGTGGAAGGCTCAACCGTCGATGGTGGTGTGGAGGGTTCGTAGAAAGGCAACAGGCCTGAGCCAACTGGGCAGAGGAATGGGTTACGAGCTGATCAGAGAGGGAGGTGCGCGGGTGTGAAAGGATTTGTAGTCGATTATAATGTTTCGGTGAATGTTAACGCCGCAGGAATTTGAAGGTTGAGGTTACAGATTGAGCGACTTGAGTGGGGTCAGCAATGACATGAGTGTTCGCAGTTTGTTTCCAAAATGAGCCCATAAATTTCTGGCTGGCAGTTTTACTTCAGGACTAGGAACACTGCACTTTATCTGAGAATCTCTGCTGAAATGTTCCTTTCAAGGAGAAGCCTTGGGAACTAAGACACAACAACTCGAAACCCTGAACAGTTTGACCCATCTCCGCCTATTATCCCACATTCGGGATTCTAGCAGATCAGGGAAAACTGTTGTCAGATAAGTGTCCATTTTCGGTCTCCAGTGTTCCTCAAAAATTGGGACCAATTTTGTAACTGTAAACCAACGAAGAGGAAATCACGTACTATTTTGTTGCTATTACATCCCAGTTGACTGACTGCATTGAGGTTATCTGCAAGGACATCTAGTTAATTCAAATTGTGGGTGTGCGAGCAGGCAACTTGTGAGATTTACTTTTTAACCCCTTCTCTCTCTCTCTTCTAACACTGTGAAGCTTCTGAAGAGCAACCATTGAGTTCAGTGAGGTTTACATCTGTAGCCAACAGTAAGACATACACTCCAGTGGCCACTGCTTTCAAATGAACGGTACAAAACTAGAAGGTACCAACTGGGTGGGAGATGAACATCATTGCTAACAGCTTCTTCGAGAGCGACCTTGAAATTGGCTTCAGCTTCATAGAAGTTGAAACAAGCTCTTCGTACATGGAGAAAATTCTTTCTCTCTTTCTCTCTCTCTCTGAAGTAAGGTGGTAGAAATCTATTGTGAGTTTCAAGGGAGAAAGTGGCCGAATATTTGAACGTTAGAGGCTTGAGGGAATATGGGGATAGGGCAGGGCAGTGAGATTGAAAGTACATCTTGTTCTGATAGATAATGCGGACTTGATGGCTTCCTTCTGCGCTGTACATTTCTATGATTCTACTCTACAGGCCAGCCACAAACTAACTGCCTGGTCTAGGAAGGAAGGATGTAAGAAGCTCCTTGCCCGGGGCCAGTAAGGACAACGCACTTTCAAACTGTCTCTTTAAAGAGAATTAATACAGTCGTTCATTCACAGGTTAATGCTTGAAGCGCATTGTTACTGATCACGGATACCATTAAGCTGCTTCGAGTTGGCCCAAAGCAATTTACCTCTGTTTAATTTGCACTGCGGATGTCTCTTTCCTACGACGACTTCATCCATCTGCTTACATTAAGCTAAATTAGGGTTATTATAGTAATTAGTATAATAAGCTGCACTTCTTTCCTTTCTAGGCTGTCGCTGCTTTTCTGTTTGCAGTGCACTAATAGCTTCTGGAGATAGAGAACAGTACTAAAGACTTTTTTCAAACGTTTCCCAATGTATTGTCAACTGCTACACGGTGTGCAGTAAACTTTGTCAGTAACAGGTGTCCAGTTAGGTAACAAGTCTCTGGCTGTTTCCTGCAAGAGCAAAGTGACAGCTTACAAACCCAACCCAGTTGAAGGGCAAAACCTCCCGGGTGGGTGGGGTGGTGGTGGGGGGTGAGGGGGTCGTGGGTGGGCAAGGTTGAGGCTTCCAGTCTTTTGGTTGCAAGGTGGCCCTTTTTTTTCTCTCTCTCTCTCTCTCTCCCTTGAGCACAAACATCCTGTTATGAAACAATCTGGGAGGAGGGGAGCGTGAGGGAATGCGGTGGGTGGGGATAGGAGAGAGACTCAAACCGCTGATCGTCTGATTAGGAGGCACCACACATTGTCCTGTCGTTGAATTTCCATCTGTGCCTCTGGACAGATTATTCACAACTCTCCTTTCGGAACAACAAAGAAATATCTTTTTTTTTTTGCAGTTGTTTCCAACGACAGACAATATTACGTGTAGAATACTGGGAGCCGTTCCCTTTGACGCTTATGCAAAAAGTTTTCTGCAAAAGCAAGTGTTTCTGAGCAGCGAGTGGGTCAAAGCGATGGGCTCTGGATTGGAACCTTCCTCCCTGAGCTCGGAGCCGGTGGGGAGGTGGGGAAAGGGGAACATTTCGTATAAGGAATTGCATGCACGCCTGCCTCCAGAGTGTAAATTGTCTCTCTGGTTTGACATTTGGCACTGGGCTGGTATGCTGGGTTATTCTGATCCAGTCAGTCTGACCTGAAGGAAAATAGTTTTGTTTGTTTATTTTGGAGAGTTTTAATGGATGAGATTTGTTATTCGGGAGAGGGAAAAAAGAAACCTTTTGATTTACCTAATTAAATTTAAACGCAGTTTAACACTGCTTGTTTGGCCAATGTCTTTTTAGAATTTAGAATTGCAAACTCATTAAAAACAAATTACTGGCTGTCCCAGTGCTAACACTTCAGTATTGTTCCTGGCACAAGCCAAAGATATATGGTGCACAGAGTGTTCTGTTTTCCTTCATCAAATAAGACGACATTGTAATTAGCAAAGTACAAGATTAAAGGACTCTGTTACTTTGGTAAACCAATGGGGGTATTTTCTTAAGTATTTAAACAGTACCAAATCATGGTCGGTTAGCGATGCAATAACATCACATCTGATGTTGAAATGCCGCTGAATATGTCCTGTTAAACTATTTTCATTATGGAAAATATTACAAGACCCTTTGTCCATCTGAACACATTTTTTTAGAACACCCAACCACCCCCACTCCACCCCCACCCACCCCACCCTCCAACTAAACACAGCATCAAGCTGTTTTGTTTCAGCCGTGATGGAAGTGAGCAGAATGGGGTGTTGGAAGTTACTGATTTACAATTGGGGAGTCCTGTAGTGTATTGGTTTGACACTCGCCCCGCAAGCGAAAGGGCCCGGGTTTGATTCCCGGGCAGAGCGAAACCTAAGGCAAGTTTCCTTACTCCACGCACTTCTGTTTACCAGTGAGTAGGAATTCGGTTGTTAGTCAATTAGCGGATTTATTTCTTTGGCTAATTTGGTCACTCAATCCACTGCTGTGCGCATTTGGCTGCCCGTTTCACCCACAAAATATAGAGTCAATTCACTTTACAGAATATTCTGTGAAGCACTTTGAGAGTCTCAACGACGTGGTGAGCGCTGTATCATTATTATTATTCTTACAATCCGAGCAAGTAACCGATTCTCTTTGTTGGGTGTTTGTTGTCGCAGACAGCGAAGTTCTCCACAGCAGCCGGCAGCACTGCGAGCAGCTCGACTCCCGACACCCCCAATCACCAAATCCAGGCACAAGAGGAGCACGAGAACATGAAGAATATCTTGTCCACCCCAGAGCCGCAGACTCGAAGGAGCAGAGGCAACAGATGTGAGTTGCGTTTTTCTTCCCCTTTTTGCCTGGCTGCTGTGAGCCCCTCCAACCCTCCCACTCCCAACCCCCGCCCCACTCCCAACCCCCGCCCCACTCCCAACCCCCGCCCCACTCCCAACCCCCGCCCCACTCCAACCCCCGCCCCACTCCCAACCCCGCCCCACTCCCAACCCCCGCCCCACTCCCAACCCCCGCCCCACTCCCAACCCCCGCCCCACTCCCAACCCCCGCCCCACTCCCAACCCCCGCCCACTCCCAACCCCCGCCCCACTCCCAACGCCCCCCCAACCCCTCCCCACTCACAACGCCCCCCCCAACCCCTCCCCCATTCCCAACCCCAACCCCCCCACCCCCCAACCGCCTGCTACCTGTCGCTTCATTGATCAAGAAACAACGGGCTACTATCCTGTATGAAATGAGCATAATTCCTGGCTGCTAGCGGAGGGGCCTGAGGTCCCCCTGCTTCAAGAAGAAATCCGCTGAAGCTAAACCCAAGCTAAGTCGAAGCTTATTTGTTTGGATTCCAAGGAGGTTCTACAGAACACAACGGACATTACGACTGATCAGAGCCCACGGAAAACCTGTCTCGAGATCGATCAGTAAAGCAATCATGCAGACACGCATGACAAACAATACACCAGAGCACAGGCACTTTTGTAGATCTGTTGTACTGTCCACATCTCTGTCCCTTTGATTCAATATTGTATAAGATAATAATAATAATCCTTCCATTTGATACAGCGCCTTATCACGTCTTTGAGACATTTCGAAGCGCTTCACGGAATACACTGTAAAGTGAATAGCCTGTATATTTTGTTGCAGTGTCCCACAAACAGTCGAGGATTGAGCGACCACGTTTTTTTTAAGGGATGTATTAAAAGTAGCTGTGTTTAATGGTACATTTTGTATTCATTTCTCTTGCGCCATATAGCTATTGGGACAGTGAGCCCGACGAACACCTTGGCCCTTAAAGACGAAATGGCAAGTCCAGCCGATGACGCCACAGATGAAATCATGGACCGTCTGGTGAAATCTGTGACGCAGACTCCCAACGAGCGACCGTCCACGCCCAAGGAACGCAAGAGGTCACGAGCCAACAGGAAATCCTGTGAGTACCTCCAGTGTTGATTTCCCTTGCAGCAAGGGTTGATTGTTTTCTGCTCAAGACGTTGCAGGGGCCTGGGAAAATAAAGGCATGTTTATTTGTTTGTTTGTTTGTTTGTTTTCTCTCACTTCGTGGATTCCACTATTCAGTCAGGGCCAAACTGACTCAGGCCTGAGATGTTTGTGAGTTATTCTATTTGTATTTCAACTGCAATCGGTATGATTGAGATCAGTAACTAGGGAAATGTCAGCAGAACTTGCCTTTTGCTGTGACGGTGACACTGTTTTGTATCGACTGTATATTCCCAAGTTAACGTTGATTTTCTGTTGCGCAGTGAGGAGGACACTGAAGAGTGGACTGACCCCTGACGTGGTCCAAGCATTGGGCTTGTCGAAAGCACCAGAAGTAAAAATTTAAGGGGGAGCGAGGACCTGGACTCAAGTCAATCTCGCTGCCTCTCAGCGGTCCCAAACCTCGGCACAAAACCACTACCGAAAGATGAAGAAAAAAGCATCTTCATGTCTTCTCCCCGCTTAGGACAAGAACAAACACTCCACTTTAAACTACAAAGTACTTTACACAGCTACAGATGGTTTGGTGCTGACGTTTATGGAAGGAATAAAGTAACTCTTTTGTGAGCGGGTAAAGGTAGTGCTGGCAGCTCTCACTTGTTGCGGAAACAGCAGGGTAAAGCACCCCAAGCAGTCACAAATGGCCCTTGTGAAGCTGAGCTGAATAATGACAAATTCTCTGAAAAATAACCGTGTGGCAATTTGTGGACCTGGGGTTCACCTCTCACATACACACATATGCACAAACGCACACACGCACACACACACACACAAACACACTTCCCACCACTTCAGTTTTCCCTTGTGACCCTTCCACTGCTTTCTGAGGGCTTGAGCTGTAGTACTTGTTCCTTGGGTCCCAGCTTCTCTCAGGCACGTGGTGATTTTTCTGTTGTGAACCTTGATGTTGTTATTTGGCCATGAAGCTTAGCCTGACCCAATGTGCACAGATGGCAGGGCTTGGTGCATAGGAGCAGGAACCCGGCTGATTTCCCCCCCACCCCATCTCCTCCGGCCAGTGATGCCATGATTGATTGTAATGCTCTATTGGTGCCCTGGCTGAGATTTGCTAACTCGAGACCCCTTCCTGTTCAAAACACTTGCTACGCTGTCAGCCTGGCTCAGTCCGGGAGGATCCTGCTTCCGAATCAGAAGGTTGTGGCTTCGAGCCCCGGGTTGGGAGTTTGAGCTCACAGTCTAGTCCAGTGGTGGTCCTTTACAGTCGGCCGACAAAATACATTTTCTTGAGTGAATATTTCTTCATTGATGCCGTACAAATAAATAAAGAAAGTAATAACTTGGTCACTTCAGTCAACGACCGCTTGTGGGACGCTGCTGTGCGCAATTGGCTGCTGCATTTTGTCCACAAAATATACAGTCAATTCACTTTGCAGTATATTCTGTGAAGCGCTTTGAGATGTCTCGAAGATGTGATAAGGCACTATATCAAATGCAGGGATTATTATAATAAATCAAGAAATATTCAATCAAGAAAACACTGAAAATAACTGCTGATCGAACACGGACTTACCCAGACTCGTGCAAATGTTGGAGGGGAGCCCAGTGGAGCACTTTCGACCCACGGCCACAGGTTGCCCACCACTGATCTCCCCGGTGCTGTGCTGGGGAAGGGAAGAAGCCCTGAAGGCTTACCATCCTTCAGATGAGGCATTACACCAAGGACCAGTCGGTCTGTTCCGTCAATATTTAAAGATCCCGTGGCACTATTTCAAAAAGAGGAGGGAGTTTCTCCCAGTGTGCTGGCCAATAATCCTCCAGATTTCAATCAAAAAATAAATGTTTATTTCTCCTCATGGCTGTTTGTGGGACATTGCTGTGCACAATTGGCACTTGCCTACCAACTACACAGTCACTACACTTTGCAGAAAAAAAAACCTTCTGAAGCACTTTACAATGTTTTTTTAACATGATAAGGTGCTGTGTTGAATGCAATAGTTATTATCGTTATCAAACGAGGTGGTGCATTTATCCACTGTGCCATCAGGGCTGCCACAGACCTACACGATTCAGTGTAAATGGACGGGTTGCGGACTGTGGAATTGTTTTAAAGCTCTACTGTACTGGCGGTTAATCATGACAGCTGTGTTCGGAAGATGTTTTAAGCTGACGGGGTTGGAAATTGATATCCGTGAAGCAAGGCAATTATTGTACAGCAGGAGAAAATATATTCATTTGTCAGACTATAATAAACATATATTCGGTTTGGTCTGTATGTACTATGTTAAAAGGGCTACTGGCTGCATAACAATGCACAGATCTGTGTACTTGTTCTGAATTATGTATGATCCATATTATGGATATAAATTTGCACTGGGTATCTCATTTATCTATTAAGTGACCATGTAGAGGCAGTATTAATACCACATTTTTTTCAAAAGAAACCACTAAACAATCAGTAGATTGTTACCAATTACAGTTGGTTCTTAGGAACGTATTGTCGTGTAATGATCCAAAGACAACTTCCATTAAGTGGTTTGGAAGATTACAGCATTAAATGGAGGTGCAGACTTTCATTCAAGAATGTTACAAATTTGTTCTGTCCTACTTTATATATGCAAAATCAATCAAAAGTCCTTGAGGATACCCGCTAAAAATTAGTGGATGTATTTTCGTAAACTATTTTTATTCCCCAAATGGTTAAACCTTTTTTGAAAGTTTTATCATTGAAAGCAATTAAATGTCTCGTGTTTTTCCCTGTGTTCCTTTTGTTTTCTTCTAGGCTCCATCTATCAGCAGGAATCTTTGATGTATTAAGATGTAATTTGACATTTCTTTGGTATGCCTCGAGCTCAGGTATTTGCGTATCAAATATGATTTAAGGTTGCGATTGATGCTCAATGCGATTTACATAAAATGTCAGTTTAGTTCAGTTGGTAGCACTCTCACCTCTCTGTCAGAAGGTTGTAGGTCCATGCTCCCTCCCATAGGGACTTTGATCTGATAGATTGACTCTCCATTGCAATGCTGAAGATTGTTGCATTGTCAGAGACGCTTTGAATCAGACAATAAACTGAGGTCCCGCGTGTCTGTTCAGGTGGACGTTAAAGATCCCGTAGCATTATTTTAAAAGAGAGGAGAATTTCTTCCATTTTTTTTCTTGCCATCGATCCTGCAGATCAAATTAATTATTCACTTTGTGGCTATTTGGGGACTTTGCTGTGGGCAAATTGGCTGCTGTGTTCACCTACAAATAACCAATTGCTAGATTTTACAGAAATATTGCGAGCCCCTTTGAGGTATTATCAATGTTAGTGTTGAAGATAGATTAGAGATAATAAAGCGTAAAGCGAAAACAGTCAGGGTATTGCGATTGAAAGATCTGACAAGATCTAATAAACAGTAACTTGCATTTATATAGCGTCACTCATGGAGGCTAATGTCCCAGAGCGCTTTACAGTGGCAGAGCAGGACCCTGAGCTGGGGGAGGAGGGGAGGAGGTGACTGTAGGCACGGTCGAATAAGGAGATCTTCAGGCACATCCTGAAGATGAGGAAGGAAGGGGCAAGGCGAAGGAATGGAGGAAGAGAATATTTCCGGCTTGAACATGCTTGAAGGACTGGATAACCTCCTCCTGTTTCTGTAATTAGAAGTATTGCTATTTTATACAGCCTTTTAAATTATTAAATTCTTAGTTGCAGTTTTGAAACATTTACAAGATCGGATTCCAGGGAGATGCAATCACTTGTGACCAATTAATTTAAACCAGACTTTCTAAACCCGTATTCAGTAGAGAAGGAGGAGATCCCCTTGACTACACTTTCATAATATTGTATTCATGTTAATTGGAACAGTCTAGTTATTGTTACCTTGCGAATAACAATTTGGACGTGGGAGGCTTTAAAAGGGAGGATTAAGAGGGAATAGAAATGAAGCGGATAATGAATGGAAATAATTCAAAAATGCCATTCGAAAAAGAAATACAACAACAACAACTTGCATTTATATAGCGCCCTTAACTCGGGGCAGCATCTCGGAAATATATCCAGGGTCTCACTCTTGCAGTTCCTCAGGACTCGCTCCCCCACCTCCTCCAAGGCCCATCTCAAAACGTCCTCTTTCACCGCACTTCCAGTCATCTTTTCCCTCAGCTCCCACCTCCGCCCCCAAGATCTGGTGCTCAACCAGCAATGTTGAGGGTATTGAGAGATTCCCCCTCTCGTGAAAAGCGCTGTATAAATGTATATTGTGTTGTTTATGCCTGGTGATCAAAATAATGAGATGAAAATTGCCAACGTAACAAAACAAAAAGTGTCTTGATTAAATATTTCTTGATTTATGCCATAATTCAATAAATATTCAATCAAGAAAAAAACTGAAAACACACCAGGGATTGAACACAGATTTACCTAGACTTGTACAAATGTTCGGGGGGGAGGTGGGGCTTGTTGATAGACCCGCGGGGCATAGGTTGTCCACTGTTGATCTACAAGGTTCTCCATGGTGTCATCTGCAAACATGGGGTTAGCTTCCACATCTCTGCAGATGACAGCAAATCTACCTCTCACAAATTCCAGACTCTGACACATTATTTCAGATCTATAACCTGCGCAGAGGTCAGTAAAGCATCCGTTAGAACAATCACAAAGAAATGTACCTCACACGTGGACCAGGTGAGTCCCACTTTCAAATCCTCTCTGAAAAGGGTAAGGGCAAGGAAGGCTCTGGTTCATATTTTTAGGAACTCCATAAATATAGGATTGCAAACACTGAGACTTAAAACATGGAATTGTTGACCAGCCAGTTTAAAATTACTTGTGGGATAACTTATTTTACAGGATGCCATCTATTAATTGTCCAAAGAGCATAGAAATCAAAAGAAATGGTTCACCCTTTGTGAACCTAAATCCCGGGCTTTTGAAGAATAGGAATGCCTTTCTTGTGACCCGCAAGCTAAGCAAGTAATTAACCAAATGTTAATCAAATGTTGGTGATGAATGGCTTTGTGTCAATGCAATTTTGCAGATTGTTGTCCTATAGTCAACAATATGGTGGAGAGTAACATATTGAATTCAGCAGTATGGCCCGAGGACAGGTATATAAGTGACTGATGGCATTAAAGGAAGGTTTGACCCATTACTACGTGGGCTAACGACCAGCCGATGAATTTTAATTTGTTTGCTGATCTATGCTGTTATGGATAATCTGATGTGTTGTGTATGCAATTCATGGAAGGCCTCTGAACACGGTCATTGATCATCACTCAAAAGTATCCATTCAATATTAAGCAGCTACCAAATAGATATTGACGCATTGGAGAGAACCGTGGTGATGCTGAAATGTAGAGTACATAAAACCACGAAATTCGTGATGCCGAATGCAGTAGCTTCAATTTGTGCTTTTAATGGGAGATTCCACCTTAAGGGTGACATTGCTACTTCATGATCAACAACAATAAATTGCATTTATATAGAGCCTTTCTCATTGGGAGGGACGTCCCAAGGTGCTGGACAGTGATGGGTTTGCTGGGAGTTAAGTTCAAGAGGGGTGGAGGGCAGTGGGGGTGGGAAGATAACTGAAGACAGGTTCGAACAGGAAGGTCTTGAGATGGGCCTTGAAGGAGACGATGGAAGGGGTGAGGCGGAAGGATGGAGTTTCAGAAGAGGGACTCTTAAGAACTGATCTTTTCGCATTTGAAAGTGAAGGATATTGATCCATTGAATGTAAAGTCCATCTCAAGACCTGCCACTTTGACAGTTTTTGTTCATCTTTCCTGCCAGCTTGGGTGCTGAGCCAGGACTGTTAAACTCCTTGGGTATCCTCCCAATGTGAAAAGTACTATATTATATGTAAATTTGTTTCGTGTATATATGCAGGCCTTTAAAATACTGAGAGGCACAAGAAATGTCAATATAAACAAGGTGTTTACATTACATTAATTTAGATTAAATTATCATAGAGCTAGAATACATGAATTTAAAAATACAGATAGGTACTTCAATACTTCATTTCTTCCTCCCTTTGGAATTGACTTCCAACAAAGCCAGTTAACCATTAACTAGTAACCTGAAGAGGAGCTTAACATGGGCTGAAGGTTATAATTTTTTTCCTTTTGAGATGTTAAGTGACATTCAACCGGAGCTACCACAGCAGATGTATATGCACAAACCTATAGATTTGCTGACTTTGTTTCCAGGGCAGCATGTGCTAAAGTACCCAACTTGCTACGCCAGGCATGTCTATCAATCCACCACAGCTGGAGAGAGGAATCAGGTAGGTTAATAATGCACCAAACCAGTTGGTTAAAAGCAAAGCATTTTTAATAAATCCGTAATCTC